CACTTAAAATAGAGCCTGTATTAAGGAGTAAGGCATCTATTAGCTCTAATAAACCAGATATTAGGCCTAATAATGCCTAATTATTATACCTATGCATCCGTCTATCATTATTAACGATAATAACACCTAATAATACAGGGTAAAATCATATCAGAAGAGATCTTAAATGACACATTGGCCCAAAACCGCCTGAATTCACCCCAAAACACTGTTTCCCCCTTAAAGTCTGCTTAAATGAGGCGTTCTTTCACCCCAAACCACCCCAAAACGTTTTGCTCATAGCGTCTGCTTAAAAGGGGCGGTTTTTACCCAAAACCGCCTGATTTCCCCCCAAAAAGGGGGTGTTTTGCACCCCGCAGCTGCTGTTTTTCACCCGTTTCGCTCCATTGGCTTCCACTGAAAAGCTTTTATGCAAACGAAACCCCCCAAAAAAGAGGAATTTGCCCAATTCTCACTTCTCGTTTTTGGTTATTTTCGAGACCGAAAACAGGCGATTTGGGGTGAAAAACAACCCAAAATTTCTGCACCTGTGGGGCCCGGAGAGGCCATTTTAGGTCTAAACCCCCTTTTACAGGCAAAACCCAACTTTAAATCAAATTTCTTTATATTTTTACACCTTTTTTTTTTTTTTTTGGCCAGAAAATTGCGAAAATCCAGGTGGTTTTGTCTCATTTGATCATCGTTTTGGGGGCAAAAAGCCCGATTTTGGAGTTTAGTTCGAACTTCAAGCCCTGACATTAAAACATGTTAACTTAATGATCTATATTTGATAGATTTCTGATTTTCACCTCATTTTACCCAAATTTCAGCATTTTCAAGCCTTTTTCTCCATTTCAACCTGATTTTCTGATTTCCTATCTATTTTAACCTATTTCAATCAATTTTTATATCCATTTTCTATCAATTTTAATCTAGTTTTGATATCCACTTTATATCCATTTTTCTACCAATTTTATCCTTTTTCTTACCAAATTTTCAATCTATTTCACGCATTTTCCTGTTTGCCCTGTATTTTTGATCTGTTTTATCAATTTCCTACCTAATTTTCAACCTGTTTCACCCATTCTTCTCAATTTTCATCTAATTTTCTAGTTTCATCGATTTTAACCTGTTTAATCAATTTTAACCTATTTTTCTACCTGTTTTCTACCTATTTTTAATCTATTTTCCTCTATAGCTTTATCTACTCAATTTTGTATAGATTTAAATCTGATTTTTGCCTAATTTCCCCCCTTTTTAACCTAAATTTTGATCCCATTTTTGTCATTGCATTTCAATCTCTATTTAGCCTGCATCTAAATATATATTATATTCTCTATATCATATATATATATTATACATCACCCTATCATTAACATTAAATCCATCAAACTGCCCCAAACTCCCCAAATTTGCCCTAAAACCGTTTCAATAACTTCATTTTGCCCCAATTTTGGGCAAGAATTGGTTTTTTGGGGGGAGAAAATCGCCTTATTTGAGGAATTCCCCTTAAAACCTCACTTTGCTGCCCCAAACCTCTCAATTCTGTGTTAGAACCCATTCAGAAAGGCAACAAAACGATGGAGAATTCATTAATAAGCAGACAAAAATGGGAGATTTGGGTAAAAAGAGGGGAAAATAGGGCTGAAATTCACAATAACGGCCCCAAATCCCCCGTTTTAAAGCAAATCTGGGCTAAAAACCCATGAAAAAAAAAGGAGAAAGTGGGACTTTAACAGCAAATTTACCCCCAAAATGACCCAAAAATTGAGAGATTGGCTCGTTTCCGATCAAAAATCTATATAGAATACGAATTTCTCCTTTTTCATCCAAAGTCTGCCTTTTTGACCTCAAATTTCATTCCTCCCCCCCCCCCAAAACGGGGGGGGGGGGGGGGGGGTGGGGGTGGGGGGGTGGTCATTTTAGCCAACAAATTGCCCTCAATTCTATTTTTTTCCACAAAAAAAAAAAAAGACCCTAAAATTAACATTTTATGGCCCAAATCTGCCATTAAATCACCTCTGGATGAGTTTTCCCCCCAAAAAAAGACCCTAAAAATGGACTTTTTAGCCCGTTTTTGACCATTAAATCACCTCTGAATCAGTTTTTCTCCTGAAAAAGACCTTAAAAATGGACTTTTTTTGACCATTTTTGACCATTAAATCACCTCCAAATCAATTTTTCACCAAAAAACCACTCCAAAATTGACATTTTTTTACCCTAAATTTGCCACTAAATCACCTCCAGATCGATTTTTCCTTCTAAAAACACCCCAAAAATGGCCATTTTCAGCCCAAATCTCCCTCTAAATCACCTCAAAATGACTATTTCCCAGAAAAAAAAACCTCAAAACGGACTTTTTGCCCCATTTTTGCCCCCTCAAATCACCCTTTCCCTCCAAAAAACACCTAAAAACGGACTTTTTCACCCAAAAACGGACATTCCCCCCCCCCCAAAAAAAACCCTGCCATTTGATGGCCCCAGCCATCAAAATGGGGTCGCCCTCAAGACACACACACACACCCGGGTGGATTTTGGGGTGAAAAAGGGCAAAATTGGTCACAATGGGGTGGTGGGATGAGGACTTACCGGAGGAGACGGTGACGGCGGTGCCGCTGCCCCAGAAGTCAATCCAAGCAGGAAGACCACAATGAGAAGAAGCCAATGCCCTCCCATACAAAAACCCCTCCTCTGGCTCATTTTGGGGCTAAACCCTCAATTTTAACCGATTTGGGCCAATTTTCACTAAAAAAAAATCAAAAACAACGAAATTCCGGGTGTTCCGAACGCTAAAATTGTTGAATTTGGTCCAAATTGTGAAAATTTCATGGTGAATTTGAATTTTTCCCACCTCAGGCTCCAAAGGACCAAGATTTTGGTGTTTTCCCCCCGAAAATGGGAGTAAAAAGGGGAAATAAACCCCAAAATGGAAAAAATTGGGGGTAAAATTGATAAAAATAAGACAAAACTTCATATTTTTGATCACGAGGCATAAATAAAATGGAGAAAAAAGGCCAACATTTGAGGGGCAAAAGGGCAAAAAGGGAAAATTAAGAGGATATTGGAGGGAAAATTGGCCAAAACGTGGAAAATAACCCTAAAATTAAGGCAGAAACGGGCGTAAACAGCAAGAAAATGTTGATTTTGGGGGTGTGAAAGGGGGGTGGAAGTGAAACATCAGCATTTTGGGGGTTCAAAGTGGCAAAAAAAGGGGTAAAGGGTGAAAAAGGCACGGATTTGGTGCGGAATTAGCGAGGAAGGGCATAAATTGTGCTCGATTTGGGGCAAAAAAAGGCAAAAACGGGCAAAAAGGGTCCAAATTTGGGGGCAAAGAGCCCCGAGTTTCTTGTCATTGTCTGCACCACTGTGATTAGCAGCAGCACCCCAACCAGTACCAGCACCCACAGTGATACAGGGTGGGACAATATCCCCCTCTATGGGGCTGAGCTCATCCACCCCGCTCCTCCTCAAGCACCCCCAAAGCTGCCCAAAATGGGTGGAAAATGGGGTTTTTAGCCCCAAAATCCCTCGTTTTGGTCCGGATGGAGCTTTTCCGTGTCCAAAGGTTCCCGTTCCTCCAGGTGGGGAAATGGGGATAAAAGGTGGGAAAATGGGGGTAAAAGGTGGGGAAATGGGGATAAAATATGGGGAAATGGGGAGAAAAGGTGGGGGGGATAAAAGGTGGGGAAATGGGGATAAAATGTGGGGAAATGGGGATAAAGGTGGGAAAATGGGGATAGAAAGTGGGAAAATGGGGATAAAAGGTGGGAAATGGGGATAAAGGTGGGAAAATGGGGATAAAGGTGGGAAGATGGGTATAGAAAGTGGGAAAATGGGGATAAAAGGTGGGGAAATGGGGATAAAAGGTGGGAAATGGGGATAAAAGGTGGGAAATGGGGATAAAAGGTGGGAAAATGGGGGTAAAAGGTGGGGAAATGGGGATAAAATGTGGGGAAATGGGGAGAAAAGGTGGGAAAATGGGGATAAAAGGGGGGGAAATGGGTATAAAGCATGGGAAAATGTTCCTAACCGGCCAAGAAATGGCAATATTTGGGGAGAAATTGGGCATAAATGGGAAAATATCTCTGAAACTGTGGATTGTAGTGGTGGGAAGGGAAAAGTGGGGTGAGATTTGGGGGAATGTGGCCAAAAAGGGGCAAAATAGGCCCAGGTTTGGGTCAAAAGTGGCCCAAAAGGTGCAACCAGATCCAGGTTTGGGTGGGAATGGGCAAACCAGGGCAAAATTGGGCCTGGTTTGGGTCAAAAGTGGGCAAAATTGGTCAACGTGGGCCATCTAATGGGGGTTTTGGTGGTCCTCAGGGTCTGGGTCTCCATACAAGAGGTCCCCATCTCCATCCAATGGGTCCTCACCTCCATCCAATGGGTGTTGCTCTCCATCCAATGGGTGTTGCTCTCCATCCAATGGGTCTTGGTCTCTATCCAATGGGTCCCAATCTCCATCCAATCGGTCCCATCTCCATCCAATCGGTCCCATCTCCATCCAGTGGGTCCCATCTCCATCCAATGGATCTTGGTCTCTATCCAATGGGTCTTGATCTCCAAACAATGAGTCCCCATCTTCATCCAATGGGTCCCCATCTCCATCCAATGGATCTTGGTCTCTATCCAATGGGTCTTGATCTCCAATGAGACCCCATCTCCATCCAATGGGTCTTGCTCTCCATCCAATGGGTCTTGATCTCCATCCAATGGGTCCCCACCTCCATTCAGTGGGTCTTGTTCTCCATCTAATCAGTCCCCATCTCCATCCAATGGGTCTTGCTCTCCATCCAATGGGTCTTGCTCTCTATCCAATGGGTCTTGCTCTCCATCCAATGGGTCTTGTTCTCCATCCAATGGGTCCCACCTCCATCCAATGGGTCTTGCTCTCCATCCAATGGGTCTTGCTCTCCATTCAACGGGTCTTGCTCTCCATCCAATGGGTCCCCCCCTCAGTCCCTTTCACCGCCCACCCCGTCACCCTCCACCCTCCCAACCACAGGCACCGCGCTCCGGCGCCCACCACCACCCTATAGCACCCTATGGGCCCCATTCATGCCCGGGCCCCGCATGCCGCCGGCACCACCGTGGGCACCCTTCACGCAGTAGTAAGTGGCCGTGTCCTGCGCCGTGAGGCCGCTCATCTGCAGCGTGACCGTGCCCTGGGAGCTGTCCATGGTGATGGTGGCTCGGCCCTTCACCGACAGCGCGTATCCGGCGCCACCACCATTGCTGTTGATGCCAGCGACCCATTGGAGCCCCTGCCCCATTGCTTGGCGCATCCATCCCATGCCGTAGGTGCCGAAGGTGAAGCCCGAGGCCTTGCAGAGGAGCCTCATGGAGCCCCCGGGGCTTTGGAGGCCGCCTCCGGTCTCCTCCAGCATCACGGCCGCCCGCAGACCTGGGCATGGACAAGAAGGAGCCATTGAGGCCATGGGGGGCTCAGCGCCATCACCACGGACCCCCCACCCCCCTGGCAATGGGTCCAGGTCCTACCTGGGACAGAGGCCGCGAGGAGGAGGATGAGGACGGGGAAGGCCATGGCGGTGCCGGTGGCGATGGCGGTGGTGGGGCCATGGGGCGGACGGGTTATGAAGGCAGTGGGGCACGATGGGGTTTGCATAGGGGGAAGGGGGGGTTAAGAAAGGGGGCGGGGCTATGGGGCAAGGGGAGGGATCAGTTGATGGCGGGGGGGGGTTGGTTAATCGGTTAATAGCGATGCGGAATTAATGGTGGATTAATTAATCAATTAATTGGGATCGCAATCAATTAATTGGTTGGGAAGTAGACATGGAGTTAATGGCAGATTGATTAATCAATTACTTCTGATCGCAATCAATTAATTGGTTGGGAAGTAGACATGGAGTTAATGGCAGATTGATTAATCAATTACTTCTGATCGCAATCAATTAATTGGTTGGGAAGCAGACATGGAGTTAATGGCAGATTGATTAATCAATTACTTCTGATCGCAATCAATTAATTGGTTGGGAAGCAGAAATGGAGTTAATGGCAGATTAATTAATCAATTCATTGGGAACATGATATGGAATTAATGGCAGATGTGTTAACTGATTAATTGTGATACTGACATGGAGTTAATTGCAATTTAAATAATTAATTGGGATAGCAACGTGGAACTAATGGCAGATTGATAAAGTAATTAATTGTGATCTCGACATGGAATCAATTGCAATTTAATTACTTAATTGTGATAGGAATCTGGAACTAATGGCAGATTGATTAATTAATTGTGATCTCGAGGTTGGAATTAATAGCAGATTAATTAATTAATTGTGATGCTGACATGGAATTAATTGCAGATTTATTAATTGACTGTGATCACAACATGGAATTAATTGAAGATTGATTAATTGACTGTGATAACAACACGGAATTAATGGCAGATTAATAAATTGATTCAGATAGGAACAAGGAATTAACAGGAGATTAATTAATTAATATGTAGATCCACGTGGAATTAATTGCAGATTAATTAATTAATTGTGATATGGACGTGCAATTAATGGCAGCTTAGTTAATAACTTAATTGTGCTATCAATGTGGAAATAATTGCAGATTAATTGCTATCAATTAACTGTGATTTAATGGTTTAATGGGAATTTCACGGGGTTTTAGGAAATGTGTCTTAATAAGCTTCTAATTAATTAATTAATTAGGTGGTTTGATACTGATTGATTCGATATTTGTATTTTATACCCCTATGTTTGCCTCAGCCATTTTACACATTTCATTTAATCCTATATTGCTTTTAATCACCTTAACCTATTTTTAATACCATTTTCAATTAATTCCTAGCAATTAATCACTACTGAGGAATAAGAATTACTATTATTAGCAACGTTTAATTATTATTAGCAATGTTTAATGCTGAAGAATTACACATGATGAGTTGTTTAACAGAAACTTAATGAATTTACACTCATTCATTATATACTAATCTATTTATTCTCATTAATCATGTATAATAATCTATTTAATTAATTATATACATTAATCTATTTAAGCTCATTGTTTAACTTCCCAATTATTTGATAGCACTTTCATTTCTTTGCTATCCTTTTACACATTATATTTGAATCGCACCAATTTATCATTGCAGTGCCTTTTATAGGGGCTAGTTAATGAATTAATTAATTAATTAACGGGGGAGCCCCATGGGGCTTCGTGGCAGCTGCTCCCTTGATTCATGAACTAACAGGGAGGTCCCATGGGGCTTCACGGCAGGTGCCTTGGGTCACAACAAGCCTTAATATAGAGACCGAGGCTCCCTAACTTAATGAATTAATTAATAGGGACCCTTAATTGCAATCACTGCAGAGGGCTCATTAATGAGAGTGAATTGATCGATTACCTGCAATCACTGCAGTCTTAGCACTGATTAACCACCACCACCATAACCATAACCACCATCACCACCACCACCATCACCATAAGCACCATAACCACCATCACCATCACCATAAGCACCATAACCACCATCACCATCACCATAAGCACCATAACCACCATCACCATCACCATAACCATCATTACCCTTCACGCAGTAGTAAGTGGCCGTGTCCTGCGCCGTGAGGCCGCTCATCTGCAGCGTGACCGTGCCCTGGGAGTTGTCCCTGCTGATGGTGGCTCGGCCCTTCACCGATGCCCCGTATCTGGTGGTGCCACCACCACTGCTAATGCCAGCGACGTACTGGAGCCCCTGCCCCGGTGCTTGGCGCATCCATCCCATGCCGTAGTCTCCGAAGGTGAAGCCCGAGGCCTTGCAGAGGAGCCTCATGGAGCCCCCGGGGCTTTGGAGGCCGCCTCCGGTCTCCTCCAGCGTCACGGCCGCCCGCAGACCTGGGCATGGACAAGAAGGAGCCATTGAGGCCATGGGGGGCTCAGCGCCGGCACCACGGACCTCCCACCCCCCCGGCAATGGGTCCGGGTCCTACCTGGGGGTGAGGTTGGATTCGTGGCTATGGGGAAGGGTCCATAGGGAACCAATGGGGGGGGTTGGGGGAAAACCTGTGGAGGTTTGGGTCAATGGATAGAGATTTGGTTCAATGGATGAAGATTTGGGTCAATGGATGAAGATTTGGGTCAGTGGATCAAGATTCGGATCAACGGATGAAGATTTGGGTCAATGGATGAAGATTCGAGTCAATGGATGAAGATTTGGGACAATGGATGAAGATTTGGGTCAATGGATGAAGATTTGGGACAATGGATGAAGATTTGGGTCAATGGATGAAGATTTGGGTCAATGGATGAAGATTTGGGACAATGGATGAAGATTTGGGTCAATGGATGAAGATCTGGGACAATGGATGAAGATTTGGGTCAACGGATGAAGATTTGGGACAATGGATGAAGATTTCGGTCAATGGATGAAGATTTGGGACAATGGATGAAGATTTGGGTCAATGGATGAAGATTTGACTCAATGGATCCAGATTTGGGCTTCGCCTTCGGAGACTACGCCATGGGATGGGTGCGCCAAGCCCCATGGCAGGGGCTCCAATGGGTCGCAAGCATTAGCAAGGGTGGTGGTGGCACTGATTACGCGCCGTCGGTGAAGGGCCGAGCCACCATCACCAGGGACAACTCCCAGGGCACGGTCACGCTGCAGATGAGCGGCCTCACGGCGCAGGACACGGCCACTTACTACTGCGTGAAGAGTGGTTATACTGGTGGTGGTGGTGGTTATGGTGATGCTGATGGTGGGTATGGGGGGTACGGTGGTATAGCCATGACCAGCACCATACCCACCATCACCAGCATAACGAGCGCCATAACCACCATAGTCATCATAACCACCATAACCATCAACAGCACCAGAGCCACCAGCACAATACCTACCAGAACCACCATGCCCACCATAACCAGCACCATACCCTCCATAAGCACCTGGAGCACCACCACCAGCACCAGCACTCTTCACGCAGTAGTAAGTGGCCGTGTCCTGCGCCGTGAGGCCGCTCATCTGCAGCGTGACCGTGCCCTGGGAGTTGTCCCTGGTGATGGTGGCTCGGCCCTTCACCGACGGCGCGTAATCGGTGTAACCACCATTGCTGCTAATCCTTGCGACGAACTGGAGCCCCTGACCCGGGGCTTGGCGCATCCATCCCATGCCGTAGCTGCCGAAGGTTAAGGCCAAATCTTCATTCATTGACCCAAATCTTCATTCTTTGACCAAATCTTCATCCATTGTCCCAAATCTTCATCCATTGACCCAAATCTTCATCCATTGACCCAAATATAGATCCAATGACCCAAATCTTGATCTATTGACCCAAATCTTGATCCATTGACCCAAATCTTGATCCATTGAACCAAATCTTCATCCATTGACCCAAATCTTGATCCATTGACCTGAATCTTCATCCATTGACCCAAATCTTCATCCATTGACCCAAACCTTCATCCATTGACCCAAATCTTCATCCATTGACCCAAACCTCCACAGGTTTTCCCCCAACCCCCCCCATTGGTTCCCTATGGACCCTTCCCCATAGCCACGAAGCCACCCTCACCCCCAGGTAGGACCCGGACCCATGGTGGCACTGGGGGGGGTGGGAGGTCCGTGGTGCCGGCGCTGAGCCCCCCATGGCCTCAATGGCTCCTTCTTGTCCATGCCCAGGTCTGCGGGCGGCCGTGACGCTGGAGGAGACCGGAGGCGGCCTCCAAAGCCCCGGGGGCTCCATGAGGCTCCTCTGCAAGACCTCGGGCTTCACCTTCGGCAGCTACGGCATGGGATGGATGCGCCAAGCACCGGGGCAGGGGCTCGAGTTCGTCGCAAGCATCAACAGCAATGGTGGTAGCACCTGGTACGCGCCATCGGTGAAGGGCCGAGCCACCATCAGCAGGGACAGCTCCCAGGACACGGTCACGCTGCAGATGAGCGGCCTCACGGCGCAGGACACGGCCACTTACTACTGCGTGAAGAGTGGTTATACTGGTGGTGGTGGTGGTGGTGCTCCTGGTGCTGGTTATGGTGGTGGTGGTGGTGCTTGTGGTGGTTATGGTGGGTACGGTGCTGGTTATAGTGCTGGATATGTTGGTTATGGTGGTTACAGTGTGTATGGTGCTGGTGCTGGTTATGGTTATGGTGGCGACGGTGGTTATGATGACTATGGTGGTTACGGCTTAATTATTAGCCCTAATTGAGGGGCTAACGTTCACCCTTCCCCCGAAATGCAGGTGCGAGAGCAGCTGCTGCAGCCAAGGGGCCGAAAGCGACCGCCGGGGCCTATTTTTGGGTTAAAAAGGGCCCGTTTTGGGGTTTCGGGGCTCTTCGTGGCTATTTTCGGCAGCAGCAGCTGCGCGGGAAAACCCCAAAGCGGGCGGGTTTGGCCCCAAAACGGGGCCGGCCCAGACACAGGGCGCGGGACGGGACCGTCGCTCCTCGGTGATGGCCATTAGCGCTATTAATTGCGGTCGATTAGTGCTAACAATTGCATTAAAGTGACGGGCTTTGCTAATTATTAATCGGTTCTTATTTGATTAATTATTTATGATTAAATTATTTGCTATTATTCTCTACAGTTGACTGGGAATTTGATGGGAATCGCTATTTTTATTGCTAATATTCACCAATTCGCTGGTTTTAGACCTATTATCCCGTCCTTCTATGACCTCGCTCCTTTATTCCCTATTAACTAATTAACCGGTTATTCCAACTTATTAACCCATTATTTGAGTCTCAGAGGAACCATTATTAGCTCCATTAGTCTCTTTTGTTACTCTTATTAGCACAAATCCTTCTATTTCTAGTATTAACATTAGCATTTGTGTTATTAATATCATTTATTAGCATTATTATTGTTATTGGCAACAGTATTAAATAATTACCATTACTTTGTCCTCCTATTTATAGTAATTATTATCATTAATAGCCCTAAAATAATGAAATCATAATAATATTATTAGAAATAATCGGGTTTATATTAGAATATGAGAAATTAATCGGTTTCTATTAGAAATGATTCGTTTCTATTATAAATCATTAGGTTTCTATTAATTATTAGAAGGCTTATTAGCGTTAGAGAGCATTCTGGTTTTGTTAACGGGAATTAATTTGGAGCCTTTTATTAGGAGGAATTGCCCTTTATCGCTATTATTAGAGCAAAAATCGCTGCGCTATTGGGGTTTATTCGCTATTTTATAGGTGCATTAGGCGTTTATTAGCTTGTAATTTTATCATAATTTAGCTTTATTTTTGTTATTATTATTTCTATTATTATTATATTAATCATTGTTAATTATTATCATCAAAACCTCCCACTCTATTTGCCCTCCTTCTAATTATCAGCCCCATCTATTCCTTGATTAATTCCTGTTATTAGCACAAATGCTCCTATTTTATCATCGCCCCATTGCATTAGCTCCATCATTAATCACTATTATCGCTAATAATCGCTTTTGATTCTCATTATTATCACCTCTGCAGGGGTTTGCACCACTTTATGAGCTCTTAATAACAGTAATATTAATGATATTAATGATACTAAAGCAATTATATTTTTGTAAAAAGATAATTTATTGCACTTTATAATTATTATTTTCTATTATTTATATTTTCTCTTATTTTTATTTTGTATTATTTTATATTGGCTATAATTATTATAACTCTAATTAACATTATTAATATATAAATAATATATTCTTTATATAAAATAGATTAGACATTAATAATTATTCATGATGTAAGATTACACAATCAATTAATAAATGTATTATATTATTATTGTACGATATTAATAATTATATGCAATACTGTGGAACAATAACATCATATTAAGCAATTAATAATTAGTGTGATTAGCAGCAAGACGGCTCCTTCATTACCATAATTAGGGACAATACTTGAGAGTTTATGAGTATTTTGGGCAGAAAAGTGATTTATTATTACTAATATCGCTTGATGGTGTTATTGTTACTGGTCGATCTTCTTACAGCGTGTATTTCATTACAGATCTCATTATGTCTTATGGAATTTAGCATTAATAGCATTAATAGCTTTAATTAACCTGATTACGACCGACGTATTATTAAATCCCTAAGAAATCACTATTAAATTATCATTTCCTTTATTTTTCCTATTATTAAAGCAATCAATCCCGCTTTCTCGATGCTAATAAAGGGAATAAATGGACTTCGATGGAATAACAGAGAAAATAAAGGGGAAAAAAACAAGGAATAAAAGGAAATCAATGGAAAAAGGGGAATAAAATGGGAATTAAAGGGAATAAAGGCCCCAAAATTGTTTTAAATTCACCCAAATCAATGAAATAAAGGCTCAAAATTGAATTTAATGCCCCCAAATTGGATTAAATTCCCCCCCAAATCAATGAAATAAAGGCTCAAAATTGAATGTAATGCCCCAAAATTGGATTAAATCCTCCCAAATCAATCAAATAAAGGCTCAAAATGAAATTTCATGCCCAAAATCAAGTAATTAAAGGCTCTAAATTGAATTTAATGCCCCAAAATTGGATTAAATTCCCCCAAATCAATGAAATAAAGCTTTAATATCGAATTAAATGCCCCCAAATCGGATTAAATGCCCCCAAATCAATGGAATAAAGGCTCAAAATAGAATTTAATGCCCCAAAATTGGATTAAATTCCCCCAAATCAATAAAATAAAGCTTTAATATCGCATTAAATGCCCCCAAATCAATGAAATAAAGTCTCGAGGCTGAATTTAATGCCCCAAATGGGATTAAATTCCCCCAAATCAATGAAATAAAGCTTTAATATCGAATTAAATGCCCCCAAATCGGATTAAATGCCCCCAAATCAATGAAATAAAGTCTCGAAGCCGAATTTAATGCCCCAAAATTGGATTAAATTCCCCCAAATCAATGAAATAAAGCTTTAATATCGAATTAAATGCCCCCAAATCGGATTAAATGCCCCCAAATCAATGAAATAAAGTCTCGAAGCCGAATTTAATGCCCCAAAATTGGATTAAATTCCCCCAAAGACTCGAAAACGGCGAATTTTGGCGAATTTAACCGAAATCCACGAAACCCCCGTTAAAAAAGCGATTCAACCCGTGAGATCAGAGGGGAATTAAGGCAGAAAAACGTCAAAATTGGGGAAATTTAGGGAAAAAAAAGGCATAAAAATAAGGAAAATTGAAGGGGGGGGGTGCGCGCTGCTCTCCTCCCAAGTCGGCTCCGTAATCTGCCTAGCAACGCGCTCCGATTGGCTGCGAGGCGCCGCGAGGGGCGTGGCTTGCGGGGGGCGGAACCCGGAAGCGCCTCCCCTTGGCCCTTGCCGTCTCCATGGCAACCGCAGGGGGCTCGGCCTTAGCGACGCCGCCATTTTCCTTAGCAACGGGGGCCTGGGTGGGTGTGGGGTGAGGTGGGGGGAGGGGTTAGGGGTGGGGGGGGTGGGGGGGGTGGGGTGGGGGTGGGGTGGGGTGGGGGGGAGGGGTCCAGGCCTCACTTGGGGGGCCGAGGCCTCGTCTTGGTTTTGGTGCTCTGAAGGAGGAGAAGCCCCGTTTGAGAGCGACCCCCACAACCCCCCCTAAGGTAAGAGGAAAGAACCCCAAAGTAGGGGATTTGGACCCAAAATGAAGGGGGTTAGGTCAAAAGTGGGGGTTTATCCCCAAAATGGGGGGGGTTCTACCGTTAACCCCCTTAAATAAGCTTGGTTGTGGCTGTTGTTTGATTAACACCCCCCCCCCCCAAGGCTTGAACCCCCCCAAACTATCCAAAAGAGGTGTTTTAAACCCAAAATGAAGCCCAAACGGGAAAGAAAACCTCAAAACCCTCAGGTTTTAGCTTAAAAGGGTTTGAGCCCCTAAAAAAGGGATTTAATGCCCTAAAAGAGGGAGTTTGTGCCCTAAAATAAGGGGTTTGTGCCCCAAAATAAGGGCTTTATGCCCTAAAACAGGGACTGAACCCCCAAAACCAAAAGAGGTGCCCCCAAATGTGAAGATCCCACCCCAAAAATTCAGCTCCTCTCAAGAAAATGGCTGCAATTGCTTAAAATAGCCTAAAACGCCCCCAAATAAGTGCTTTGGCACACAAATTAGTATCCAATGCCCCCAAATTGGGTTTAAAACCCAAAAACCTGGGGTTTGAACCCCTAAATAGGGTTTAAAACCCCTCAAATAGGGATTTAAACACCCAAAATAGGGGTTTTAACCCCCAAAATAGGGATTTAAACACCCAAAATAGGGGTTTTAACCCCCAAAATAGGGATTTAAACACCCAAAATAGGGGGTTCAACCCCCAAAATAGGGGTTTAAACACCCAAAATAGGGGTTTAACCCCAAAAATAGGGATTTTAACCCCCAAAATAGGGATTTAACCCCCCCAAATGAGCCTAACTCCCCAAAACCGGTATTTAAGCCCCAAAAGAAGTTGATGTTTCCCCCCAAAAGTAAGTATTTAGCCCCTAAAATAAGCCTCAAATAAGGATAAATCGCCCTAAAATACGGGTAAATAAACCTAAAATAAAGATATACAAACCTAAAGTAAGGACAAATGCCCCCAAATTTAGTTTAGAACCCCCAAAAGAACTTTATTCACCCCAAAACTGCAAGTTTAATACCCCAAAAATAGGTTTATATCTCCCCAAAATCGTTTTTTTTACCCCAAATCCCCCTTTAACTGCCCCCCACCCCTTTAACCCCCCCATAGCCCCCTTTAGACCCCCCCCAAAACCCCTTTTCCCTTCCTTTTCGCCCCAAAACTCCCCCTCCCCTTAATGACGTCACGGTTGGGGGGGGGGGCTCCCCCCCTTTACATCCGCCTTGGTCCCCTCCTCTTCCTCCTATGGGGGGGGGCAACACGGGACCCCCATAGCCATGGCTGAGCCTGGAGGTGGGACCCCCCCTTATCCATCCCTTTGGGGGGGCGGGGGGGGGCAGGTCGTTTTGGGGCAAAAAAAGGGGGATTTGGGGGCTGGAAATGGGGATTTGGGTGGAGAAATGTGGATTTTGGGGGGGGGGAAATGGTGATTTGGGGGGAAAGTTGTGATTTTGGGGGGAAGGTGATTTTTTGTGGCAAAAATGGTGCTTTGGGGGGATAATGGGGATTGGGGGGATAATGGTCGTTTTGGGGTGAAAAATGGGGAGTTTGGGGCTGAACGTGTCGTTTGGGGTGAAAAATGGGGATTTGGGGAGGGAAATAGGGGTTTGGGGGGGACGTTGTTTTTTGTGGGGGATAATATCGATTTGGCTGTGAAATGATGCTTTTTGGGGGGGGGAATGGTGATTTTGGGGCAGAAACGGTGATTTTGGGGGGGTCAGTGGTGGTTTGGAGGTGATGATGCTGATTTGGGGGGAAAAACAGTGATTTTGGGGGGTTAATGGTGGTTTTTGAGGGGAAAAAGGTGATTTTGGAGTGGAAAATGTTGGTTTGGGGGGGCAATAATTGTGGCTTTGGTGATTTGGGGCAAAAAGCAGGGATATGGGGGAAAGAAGAGGGTTTTGGGGACCCACAACTGCTTTTTGGGGTAAAACACCCAGTTTTGGGGTCCAAACCCTGATTTCTGGGGGTTTAACACCTGATTTGGGGGGTAAACCTCCTAATTTTGGGGGTCAAACGACTGCTTTTTGGTGTCCAGCTCTTGATTTTGAGGCTAAAGCAGCTGATTTTGGGGTAAACCCACTGCTTTTTAGTGTCTAACACCTAATTTGGCGGGCAAAGCTGCTGATTTGGGGGACAAACCACCTGATTTTGGGGCTAAACCACCTAATTTTGGGGCTAAACCACCTGCTTTTGGTGTCTAACACTCAATTTTGGGGGGTAAACCAGCTGATTTTGGGGCTAAACCAGCTGATTTTGGACCTAAACCACCTAATTTTGGGGCTAAACCACCTAATTTTGGGGTAAACCACCTGCTTTTGGGTGCCTAACACCTGATTTGGGGGTCAAACAACTGGTTTTTAGTGTTGAAACCTTAATTTTGGGGCTAAACCACCTGATTTTGGGGCTAAGTCACCTAATTTTGGGGTAAACCACCTGCTTTTTGCTGTCTAACACCTAATTTTGGGGCTAAACCACCTAATTTGAGGGCTAAGCCACCTAATTTTGGGGCTAAACCAGCTGATTTTGGGGTAAGCCACCTAATTTTGGGGCTAAGCCACCTAATTTTGGGGCTAAACCACCTAATTTTGGGGTAAACCACCTGCTTTTTGCTAACACCTAATTTTGGGGCTAAGCCACCTGATTTTGGGGCTAAGCCACCTAATTTTGGATCTAAGCCACCTGATTTTGGGGCTAAGACACCTAATTTTGGGGCTAAACCACCTAATTTTGGGGTAAACCACCTGCTTTTTGCTGTCTAACACCTAATTTTGGGGCTAAACCACCTAATTTGAGGGCTAAGCCACCTAATTTTGGGGCTAAACCACCTAATTTTGGGGTAAACCACCTGCTTTTTGGTGTCTAACACCTGATTTTGGGGTAAACCACCTGCTTTTTGCTGTCTAACACCTAATTTTGGGGCTAAACCACCTAATTTTGGGGCTAAACCACCTAATTTTGGGGTAAACCACCTGCTTTTTGGTGTCTAACACCTGATTTTGGGGTAAACCACCTGCTTTTTGCTGTCTAACACCTAATTTTGGGGCTAAGCCACCTAATTTTGGGGCTAAGCCACCTAATTTTGGGGCTAAACCACCTGATTTTGGGGCTAAGCCACCTAATTTTGGGGCTAAACCACCTAATTTTGGGGTAAACCAGCTGCTTTTTGGAGTCTAACACCTAATTTTGGGGCTAAACCACCTGATTTTGGGGAAAACCACCTGCTTTTTGGTGTCTAACACCTAATTTTGGGGCTAAACCACCTGATTTTGGGGTAAACCACCTGCTTTTTGCTGTCTAACACCTAATTTTGGGGCTAAGCCACCCGATTTTGGGGCTAAGCCACCTAATTTTGGGGCTAAACCACCTAATTTTGGGGTAAACCACCTGCTTTTTGGCATCTGACGATTTGGGGGTTAAACCACCTGATCTGGGGCTAAACCACGTGCTTTTGGGGCTAAACCACCTACTTTTTGGCTCTAAACCATTGGATTTCAGTGCAACCCCCCCCCCATTTTCCCCCCCCCCCCACAGCTCCCCCCATCACCATGGACTCGGACCCCCACCGCCCACCCCAGAGCCCCCCCCACGCCTTGGCCCCCCCCTTGAACCTGCCCTTGATCCTGGAGGAGCTCCGCGTCCTGCAGCAGCGCCAGCTCCACCAGCTCCAGCTGACCGAGGACATTTGCCGCCAGGTTCTCCTCTTGGGCACCCTCCAGCCCCACAAGAGCCCCCTCCTGCCCCCCAAGCCGGCCCTCTTCCACCTCCTGCCCCCTTTCCGCCCGCCGGCACCGCCGCAACCACCGGGCGGGCGGCGCGAGTGCACCGTGTGCGGCAAGGCCCCGGGCGCCCGCCAGCCCCACGCGCCCGAGCGGCCCCACCGCTGCCCCGTGTGCGGCAACCGCTTCGCCGCCCGCGGCAGCCTCAAGGCCCACTGCCAGCGGCACCGCCAGCGCCCCCCGCACGTGGCCGCGGGCCCCCCGCCAGCCCCACAGCGCCTCCAGCTCCTCCTGCCCGCCACGGCCGTGGCGGCGGCGGTGGCGGCGGCGGGCAAGGGGGCAGAGGGTAACGGGGGCAAGCAACAGGGCAATGGGGGCAACCAAGTCAACAGGGGCAACCAAGTCAATAGGAGCTACCAGCTGGCCAATGGGGGCAACCAGGTCAGTGGGAGCACCCAAGTCAACGTGGGCAACCAACCACTCAGTGGAGGCAACCAACCAACCAATGGGGGCAACCAGGTCAGTGTGGGCAAGCAACCACTCAGTGGGGGCAACCAAGTCAATGTGGGCAACCAACCACTCAGTGGAGGCAACCAACCAACCAATGGGGGCAACCAAGTCAGTGTGGGCAAGCAACCACTCAATGGGGGCAACCAAGTCAACGTGGGCAACCAACCCCTCAGTGGAGGCAACCATCCAACCAATGGGGGCAACCAGGTCAGTGTGGGCAAGCAAGTCAACGTGGGCAACCAACCACTCCATGGGGGCAACCAAGTCAACGTGGGCAACCAACCACTCCATGGGGGCAACCAAGTCAACGTGGGCAACCAACCAACCAATGGGGGCAACCAGGTCAGTGGGAGCAACCAACAGGCCAATGAGGGCAAGCAACCACTCAATGGGGGCAAGCAAGTCAGCGTGGGCAACCAGCCACTCAATGGAGGCAACCAACCTCTCAACGGGGGCAACCAAGTCAATGGGAGCGAGCAAGTCAATGTGGGCAACCAACCAACCAATGGAGGCAACCAGGTCAGTGGGGGCAAGCAGCCACTCAATGGGGGCAACCAAGTCAACGTGAACAACCAGCCACTCAATGGAGGGAACCAACCAACCAATGGGGGCAAGCAAGTCAGCGTGGGCGACCAACCACTCAGTGGAGGCAACCAAGTCAATGGGAACAACCAAGTCAATGGGAGCAGCCAAGAGGTCAGTGGGGGCAAGCAAGTCAATGTGGGCAACCAACCACTCAATGGGGGCAACCAAGTCAATGTGGGCAACCAACCACTCAATGGGGGCAACCAAGTCAATGTGGGCAACCAACCACTCAATGGAGGCAACCAAGTCAATGTGGGCAACCAAATCAATGGGGGCAAGCGACCACTCAATGGGGGCAACCAACATGTCAATGAGGGCAACCAAGTCAATGTGGGCAACCAACCACTCCATGGGAGCAACCAAGTCAATGGGAGCAACCAAGTCGATGGGGGCAGCCACCCGCTCAGTGGGGCCACCCAACCGCTTAATGGGGGCACCCAAGTCAATGAGGGCAACCAAGAGTTGAACGTGGCCACTCACGATCTCAATGGGAGCAAGCAACTGGTCGATGTGGGTGCCCAAGAGGTCAATGGGAGCCCCCAGGAAGTCAAGGTGGGTGCCCAAGAGGTCAACGTGGGCGCTCAGCATCATGGTGGGGCCGGCCAAGGCCATGTGGGCACCCAGCTGGGCGATGTGGGCAACCGACAAGGCAATGGGAGCACCCAACAGGTCAATGTGGGCGCCCAGCAAGTCAATAGGAGCACCCAACAGGACAACCCCGGCACCCAAGGGGTCAACGTGGCCACTCAGCAGCATGGTGGGAGCATCCAAGTCAACCCAAGCACCCAACAGGTCAACGTGGGCACCCAACCCATCAACCCAAGCACCCAAGAGGTCAGTGTGGGCACCCAACAGGTCAACGTGGGCACCCAACCCAACCCAGGCACCCAAGAGGTCAGTGTGGGCACCCAAGAGGTCAACCCAAGCACCCAACCCAACCCAAGCACCCAGCAGATCAACACGGGCACCCAACAGGTCAACCCAAGCACCCATCAGGTCAATGTGAGCACCCAGCCCATCAACCCAAGCACCCATCAGGTCAATGTGAGCACCCAGCCCATCAACCCAAGCACCCAACAGGTCTTCAAGGGCACCCAAGCCATCAACCCAAGCACCCAACAGGTCAACATGGGCACCCCTCAAGTCAACATGAGCACCCAGCAGGTCAGTGCGCGCACCCAAGTCAACGTGGGCACCCAACAGGTCAACGTGGGCACCCAACAGGTCAACGTGGTCACCCAACAGGTCAACGTGGGCACCCAACAGGTCACTGGGGGCACCCATCAAGTCAGCATGGGCACCCAACAGGACGTGGGCACCCAACAGGTCAACCCAAGCACCCACCAGGTCAATGGGGGCACCCATCAAGTCAACATGGGCACCCAACAGGTCAACGTGGGCACCCACCAGGTCAAAGGGGGCACCCAACAGGTCAGCGTGGGCACCCACCAGGTCAACCCAGGCACCCACCAGGTCAACGTGGGCACCCACCAGGTCAAAGGGGGCACCCAACAGGTCAGCGTGGGCACCCACCAGGTCAACCCAAGCACCCACCAGGTCAACGTGGGCACCCAACAGGTCAACGTGGGCACCCACCAGGTCAACCCAAGCACCCACCAGGTCAACGTGAGCACCCAACAGGTCAACGTGGGCACCCAGCAGGTCAATGGAGGCACCCATCAAGTCAACGTGGGCACCCACCAGGTCAACATGAGCACCCATCAAGTCAATAGGAGCCCCCACCTCAACCTCGCCGCCTTCCCCAAGCTCCGGCTGCTGTCGGGCGCCGACGGGCGCGACCAGAACCCATGGCCCCTCTTCCGCCCCCCATCACCGTCACCATCATCATCGTCATCATCGTCATCATCGTCATCAATGGAGGCCCAATGGCACCGGTGCCGCCGCGCGTGGAGGCTCCGCTGTGGGGGGCACCAAGGGGGCCCCCCCCCGCCCCCCGGCTCCTGCCCCCTGTGCATGGAGAGGGGACGAGAGCGGGGGCGGCGCGGGGAGGAGGCCGGAGGAGGAGGAGGAGGAGGAGGAGGAAGGGAGGAGGAAGGGGAGGTAAGAGGGGGATGGGGGGAATTGGGGGGGAATTGGGGGGATTTGGGGGAAATTTGGGGGAAATTTGGGTGGGATTTGGGGAAAATTTGGGCGGGATTTGGGGGAAATTTGGGAGGGATTTGGGGGAAATTGGATGGAATGGGGCGGAATTTGAGTGGAATTTGGGTGGGATTTGGGGGAAATTTAGGCTGGATTGGGGGGATTCGGGTGGAATTTGGGTGGAATTGTTGAGAAATTTGAGTGGAATTTGGGGGAAATTTGGGTTGAATTTGGGTGGGATTTGGGATGGATTTGGGGGGAAATTTGGGTGGAATTTGGCTGAATTTGGGTGGGATTTGGGGGGAAATTTGGGGGGAATTTGGCTGAATTTGGGTGGGATTTGGGATGGATTTGGGGGGAAATCTGGGGGGAATTTGGGGGGATTTCGGTGGGATTTGGGATGGATTTGGGGGGAATTTGGCTGAAATTGGGTGGGATTTGATTAAAATTTGGGATGGATTTGGGTGGGGTTTGGGGGAAATTTGGGTGGAATTTGGTTCGTATTTGGGTGGAATTTGAGTTAAATTGGGTGGGATTTGGGTGAAATTTGAATGGAATTTGAAATTTGGGATGGATTTTGAGTGGGATTTGGAGGAAATGAAGGAAAATGGGGGGGAAGGAAGGAAATAATGGGGGAAATTGGGGAGAATTTGGGAGAATTTTTGAAACTGGGGAAACCAGGGGGGAATCTGGGGGAAATAAAGGAAAATTGGGGGAAAATTGGGGGAATTGTGGGGAAAATGAGGAAATTCAAGCGAAATTGGGGGAACTGTCGGGAAACTGAGTGAATTTGGGGGGAAATGGGGAAATTTAGGGGAAATTGGGGGAAATTGTGGGGAAAGCGAGGCGATTTCAGGGAAGTTGTGGGGAAAACGACGGAATTTGGGGGGAAATTTGGGAAAATGAAGAAATTTGGGTGGAAATTGTGGGAAAAACGGGGGAATTTCAGGGAAATCCCTTGGGAATAAAGGGAAAAGGGGTGGGGGGAGGGGATGGAAGGGAATGGGGGGGGGGACCCAACACTGACCCCCACCCCACCCCCACCCCTTCTTCTCCCCACAGGTGCCCCCCCCATGGACACCACCGGGACCCCTCTGGAGCCACCCCCCCCCCAGAGCCCCCCTGGGGACCCCCAAGGAAGAGGAGGGGGGGGACCCCCCCATGGAGGGGGAGGGGGACGAGTAGGGGCAATGGGGGGTGATGGAGACCCCACCCCCCCCCCCATAACCATAGTTTAGGCCATTAAAGACATTAAACGGACCCCTCCCCCCCCATTTCTGTTTATTGCGGGGGGAGAGGGGGCTCAGGGGACAAAATGGCGGCCGTTGCCAGGGAGACGGTGCGCAAGATGGCGGCGGTTGCCATGGAGACGGAGGTAGCATCCAAGATGGCGACGGTTGCCATGGAGATAAGGGGTAGCGTTCAAGATGGCGTAGACGTACGCGCCCGCCCCTAAAATGGCGCCCGTTGCCATGGCGATGCTTGCCCGGCTTCAAGATGGCGGCTGCCACGACGGAAACGCCGTTGTAAGCCGTTGCCCTCACTAAACATGGCTGCCGTTGCCATGGCGATACTCGCCCTCCCTCAAGATGGCCGCCGTTGCCATGGCGACATTTACCCGCTCCCAAAATGGCGTCTGTTGCCATGGAGATACGCGTCCCCTATCAAAATGGCGGCCGTTGCCATGGAGATGCCCTCCCGGCTTCAAGATGGCTGCCGTCGCGACGGAAATGGCGTAAAGAGACGTTGCCAGCTCTCAAAATGGCGGCCGTTGCCATGGCGATACTCGCCCTCCCTCAAGATGGCCGCCGTTGCCATGGCGACATTTACCCGCTCCCAAAATGGCGCCTGTTGCCATGGAGATACTCGCCAGCCCCTAAAATGGCGCCCGTTGCCATGGCGATGCTCGCCCGTCCTCAAGATGGCTGCCGCCGCTACGGAAACGCCGTACAGACCCCGTTGCCCTCACTAAACATGGCTGCCGTTACCCCGGCGACGCTCCCCCCTCCGTCGCGACGCAACCGTCGTAAAGACGTCCGTTGCCATGGAAACACCCCCTCGGTTTCCTCCTTCCCTTTCCCTTTGCCCTCACCCAAGATGGCGGCGGCGGCTTCGCGGCCTTCCCAGCGGCCTCTTCCGCCTCCGGCGCCGTGAGGGGACGGGGTCGTGGCCGGCTCCCGGTGCTCGGCTCCCGGTCCCGGTTTGGCTCCGTTCCCGTTCCCCGGGGTCCCGGGCCGCGATGTCGGACACGTGGAGCTCCATCCAGGCCCACAAGAAGCAGTTGGATTCGCTGCGGGAGCGGCTGCAGCGGCGCAGGAAGCAGGACCCGTGGGGTGATTAATGGGGGTTAATGAGGGGGGGTAATTGGGGTTAATGAGGGGGGGTAATGGGGTTAATGGGGGGGTAATGGGGGTAATGAGGGGGGGTAATGGGGGTAATGAGGGGGGTTAATGGGGGTTAATGGGGGGTTAATGGGGGTTAATGAGGGGTCATTAATGGGGTTAATGAGGGGGGTAATGAGGGGTCGTTAATGGGGTTAATGAGGGGGGGTTAATGGGGTTAATGAGGGGGGTAATGGGGTTGAGGTGGGTTAATGGGGGTTAATGAGGGGGGTAATGGGGGTAATGAGGGGGGGTTAATGGGGGTTAATGAGGGGGGGGTAATGGGGTTAATGAGGGGGGGTAATGGGGGTAATGAGGGGGGTTAATGGGGTTAATGAGGGGGGGTAATGGGGTTAATGAGGGGTCATTAATGGGGTTAATGAGTGGGGTTCATGGGATCAATGGGAGGTAATGGGGTTAATTAAGTCAGGAAATTTGGGGAAATTGGGGTAATTAAGGCATTAATGAGGGTTAATAAGGATAATTAGGGGTGTTAATGGGGGTTAATGTCATCAATAAGGGGGTTAATGGGTGTTAATGTCATTAATTAGGGGGTTAGTGGCCATCAATGAGGTTTAATGGCCATTAATAATCATTATTAGGGGGTTAATGGTCCTTAACGCCGTTAATTAGGTGCATAATGGCCACTAATGAGGTTTAATGGCCATTTATGAGTTTAATTAGGGGGTTAATGGGGGTTAATGGCTTTAATTAGGGGCTTAGTGGCCCTTAATGAGGGTCCGTGGCCCTCGGTGGTGTGCCTGGGTTAATTAATGACGTCATTGGGTGTTAATTAACCCTAATGAGCCCTTCTCCCCCCCCCTTAGACCCCACCCCTCCCCGCACCTCGAGCCCGGCCCCTCCCCCTCCCTCCTCCTCCTCCTCCTCCCCTCCCCCTCCTTCCTCCTCCTCCTCCTCTGCGACGTCAGCGCTGACGTCATCATCGTCCCGCCCCCCCGCCGCCGATGACGTCACCGCCTGCGACCCCGCCCTCGAGCGCCGCCTCCTCCTCCTCCTCGCCGACCCCCCCCTGGCGCTGCCCGCCGACGCCGACGCCCTCTGCCGCGTCATCGCCGCCGTGAGTGACGTCACTTCCTGCTCCGGCGGCCATCTTTGTCCCGCCCCATAGGCGGCTCCCTGACGTTGGGTGACGTCATCTCCATGGGGGGGGGGTTCTGTGCGTCCCGATTGGATGACGTCATCTCCATACGTCCCGATACGATGACGTCATCGACATACATCCCGATTGGATGACGTCATCGACATACGTCCCGATACGATGACGTCATCGACATACGTCCCGATTGGATGACGTCATCTCCATACGTCCCGATACAATGACGTCATCTCTATAGCGCCATTCTCCGTGTCCCCATTGGATGACGTCATCTCCAAAGGGGTGGTTCTATACGTCCCGGTAGGATGACGTCACGTCTATAAGTGGGTTCTGTACATCCCGATTGGATGACGTCATCTCCATAGGGGGCATTCTATACGTCCCGGTAGGATGACGTCATCTCCATACGTCCCGATACGATGACGTCATCTCGGTAGAGGGTTCTACGCGTCCCGATAGGATGACGTCATCGCTTTATGTCCCGATATGATGATGTCATCTCTGTAGCGGCTTCTATACGTTCTGATAGGATGACGTCATCGCTTTATGTCCCAATATGATGACGTCATCTCTATAGCGGGCTCTACACATCCTGATATGATGATGTCATCTCTATAGAGGGTTCTACATGTCCCGATATGATGACGTCATCCCTATCGTCGGTCTCTAGGCGGCGTTGCCGCCATAGGATGACGTCACCCCTGTAGCGCGCCCTTACGGTGCTGGTGTTGGGGTCGTGATGACGTCATGTTCGTGTTGTGATGACGTCATCCATCCCCATCCATCCCGTAGGATGACGTCACCCCCGTAGCGCCCTTATGGTGCCAGGGTCGTGATGACGCCATGTCCGCGTCGTGATGACGTCATGTCCCTGTCGTGATGACATTGTGTCCATGTCGTGATGATGTCATTTCTGTGTCGTGATGACGTTGTGTTCGGGTTGTGATGACGTCATGCCCGTGTCGTGATGACGCCATGTTTGCGTCGTGATGATGTCGTGTTTGGGTCGTGATGATGTCATGCCTGTGTCGTGATGACGTCATGTCCGTGTCGTGATGGCGTCATGTCCGTGTCGCGATGATGTCATTTCTGTGTCGTGATGACGCCATGTTCGCGTCGTGATGACGTTGTGTTTGGGTCGTGATGATGTCATGCCCGTGTCGTGATGACGTTGTGTTCGGGTCGTGATGATGTCATGCCCGTGTCGTGATGACGTTGTGTCCGTGTCGTGATGATGTCATTTCTGTGTCGTGATGACGTCACGTTCATGTCGTGATGATGTCATGTCCGTGTCGTGATGACGTCATGTCCGTGTCGCGATGATGTCGTGTCCGTGTCGTGATGACGTCATGCCCGTGTCGTGATGACGTCATGTCCGTGTCGCGATGACGCCATGTTCGCATCGCAATGACGCCATGTTCGTGTCGTGATGACGTCATGTCCATGTTGTGATGACGTCATGTCCGTGTCGTGATGTCATATCCGCGTCGCGATGATGCCGTGTCCGCGTCGTGATGACGTCGTGTCCGCATCGCGATGATGTCGTGTCTGCGTCGCGATGACGTTGCGATGACATCATGTCCGCGTCGCGATGACGTCACTGTGTCGCGCAGGATGACGTCACGGCGACGCGCGTCGGCGTGGAGAGCCTGCTGCAGAAGTTCGCGGCGCAGGAGCTGATCGAGGTGCGCCGGGGGCTCCTCCCCCCCGACGGCGCCATGGTGGTCACCTACGCCGACCGCTCCAAGCTGAGCGCCATGACGGGCGGGGCCGTGACGTCAGCGGTGACGTCATCGCAGCCGCAGCACCACCACGGGGGGGGAGGGGGAGGAGGAGGAGGAGGGGGAGGGGGGGGAGGGGGGGGGAGGAAGAGGAAGGCGGAGCAAGATGGAGGCGGTGGGGGGGGGACGGCGGCCATAGGAGGGGGGGGAGGTGGGGGAGGGGGAGTGGGGGAGGGGAAGGAGGCGATGAAGAGGGCGCGCAAGATGGCGTCCGACGTGGACCTGGAGATCGAGAGCTTGCTGAGTCAGCAGTCCACCAAGGAGCAGCAGAGCAAGAAGGTGCGTGTGGGGCAAGATGGGGGGCGGGGGGTCGGTGGTTGGGGGGCTGGGTCAATGGGGATGGATTGGGGGGGGGTGGAGGTTGGTGAGGGGAGATTTGTCAATGGGGATCCATCAATGGGGTGATTGGGATCCATCAATGGGGCTCCATCAGTGGGGTGATTTGGATTCATCAATGGGGATCCATCAATGGGGTGATTGGGATCAATGGGGCTCCATCAATGGGGATTCATCAATGGGGTGATTGGGATCAATGGGGCTCCATCCATGGGGATCCATCAATGGGGTGATTGGGATCCATCAATGGGGCTCTGTCAATGGGGATCCATCAATGGGGTGATTGGGATCAATGGGGATCCATCAATGGGGGTGATTGGGATCCATCAATGGGGCTCTGTCAATGGGGATCCACCAATGGGGTGATTGGGATCCATCAATGGGGCTCCATCAATGGGGATCCATCAATGGGGTGATTGGGATCAATGGGGATCCACCAATGGGGTGATTGGGATCCATCAATGGGGATCCATCAATGGGGTGATTGGGATCCATCAATGGGGCTCCACCAAGGGGGGTGGTTGGGCTGTGTCCATGGGTCCATCGCTATGGGTCTGTGGCTATGGGTCTGTGTCTATGGGTCTCTCACTGTGGGTCAGTGTCTGTGGGTCTCTATGGGTTGGTCTCTATGGGTCTCTATGGGTCGGTGTCTATGGGTTGGTGTCTATGGGTCTCTATGGGTCTGTGTCTGTGGGTCTCTCGCTGTGGGTTGGTGTCTATGGGTCTCTATGGGTCTGTGTCTATGGGTCTGTGTCTATGGGTCGGTCTCTATGGGTCTGTCTCTATGGGTCTCTATGGGTCTGTCTCTATGGGTCTCTATGGGTCTCTATGGTTCGGTGTCTATGGGTCTCTATGTGTCTATGGGTCTCTATGGGTCTGTGTCTATGGGTCCGTGTCTATGGGTCTCTATGGGTCTCTATGGGTCGGTGTCTATGGGTCTCTATGGGTGTCTATGGGTCTGTGTCTATGGGTCTGTTGCTATGGGTCTCTGTGGGTCTCTATGGGTCTGTGTCTATGGGTCGGTGTCCATGGGTCTCTATGGGTTGGTCTCTATGGGTCTCTATGGGTCGGTGTCTATGGGTCTCTATGGGTCTCTATGGGTCATCTTGCTGTGGGTTGGTGTCCATGGGTCTCTATGGGTTGGTCTCTATGGGTCCCTATGGGTCTGTGTCTATGGGTCTCTATGGGTCTGTGTCTATGGGTCAGTGTGTGTCTATGGGTCGGTGTCTATGGGTCGGTGTGTGTCTATGGGTCTCTATGTGTTGGTGTCTATGGGTCAGTGTCTATGGGTCAGTGTCTATGGGTCAGTGTCTATGGGTCTCTATGGGTCTCTATGTGTTGGTGTCTATGGGTCTCTATGGGTCAGTGTCTATGGGTCCCTATGGGTCGGTGTCTATGGGTCGGTGTCTATGGGTCTGTGTCTATGGGTCTCTATGGGTCGGTGTCTATGGGTCCCTATGGGTCAGTGTCTATGGGTATCTATGGGTCTCTATGGGTCTCTATGGGTTGGTGTCTATGGGTCAGTGTCTATGGGTCTCTATGGGTCGGTGTCTATGGGTCCCTATGGGTCAGTGTCTATGGGTCAGTGTCTATGGGTCGGTATCTGTGGGTCTCTATGGGTCAGTGTCTATGGGTCTCTGTGTGTCAGGTGAGCCAGGAGATCCTGGAGCTGCTGAACACGACGACGGCCAAGGAGCAATCCATCGTGGAGAAGTTCCGGTCCCGCGGGCGCGCGCAGGTCCAGGAGTTCTGCGACCACGGCACCAAGGAGGAGTGCGTGAGGGCCAGCGGCGCCGAGCGGCCCTGCCGCCGCCTGCACTTCCGGTGAGACCCACCGCGACCCATAGCGACCCATAGCGGGACCCATAGAGACCCATAGAGACCCATAGAGACTGACCCATAGAGACATAGAGCCAGAGTGCGTGAGGGCCAGCGGCGCCGAGCGGCCCTGCCGCCGCCTGCACTTCCGGTGAGACCCACAGCGACCCATAGCGACCCATAGCGGGACCCATAGAGACCCATAGAGACTGACCCATAGAGACCCATAGAGACTGACCCATAGAGACATAGAGCCAGAGTGCGTGAGGGCCAGCGGCGCCGAGCGGCCCTGCCGCCGCCTGCACTTCCGGTGAGACCCACAGCGACCCATAGCGACCCATAGCGGGACCCATAGAGACCCATAGAGACCCATAGAGACCCATAGAGACTGACCCATAGAGACATAGAGCCAGAGTGCGTGAGGGCCAGCGGCGCCGAGCGGCCCTGCCGCCGCCTGCACTTCCGGTGAGACCCACAGCGACCCATAGCGGGACCCATAGAGACCCATAGAGACCCATAGAGACTGACCCATAGAGACATAGAGCCAGAGTGCGTGAGGGCCAGCGGCGCCGAGCGGCCCTGCCGCCGCCTGCACTTCCGGTGAGACCCACAGCGACCCATAGCGGGACCCATAGAGACCCATAGAGACCCATAGAGACTGACCCATAGAGACATAGAGCCAGAGTGCGTGAGGGCCAGCGGCGCCGAGCGGCCCTGCCGCCGCCTGCACTTCCGGTGAGACCCACAGCGACCCATAGCGACCCATAGAGACCCATAGAGACCCATAGAGACCCATAGAGACCCATAGAGACTGACCCATAGAGACATAGAGCCAGAGTGCGTGAGGGCCAGCGGCGCCGAGCGGCCCTGCCGCCGCCTGCACTTCCGGTGAGACCCACAGCGACCCATAGCGACCCATAGCGACCCATAGGGACCCATAGAGACTGACCCATAGAGACCCATAGAGACTGACCCATAGAGACATAGAGCCAGAGTGCGTGAGGGCCAGCGACGGCCCTGCCGCCGCCTGCACTTCCGGTGAGACCCACAGCGACCCATAGCGACCCATAGACCCATAGACCCATAGAGCGACCCATACAGCCATAGACCCATAGAGCCATCCATAGCGCCACAGAGCCACCCATAAACCCATAGAGCGACCCATCCATAGACCCATAGAGCCATCCATAGACCCATAGAGCCACTCATAGACCCATAGATCCATAGAGCAACCCATAGAGCCACAGAGTGACCCATAGAGCCACCCATAGAGCCATAGAGTGACCCATAGAGCCACCTATAGAGCCATAAAGCCACCCATAGAGCCATAGACCCATAGAGCCACCCATAGAGCCATAGAGCGACCCATAGAGCCATAGAGCGACCCATAGACCCATAGAGCAACCCATAGAGCCATAGAGCGACCCATAGAGCCATAGACCCATAGAGCCATAGACCCACAGACCCATAGAGCGACCCATAGAGCCATGGAGCAACCCATAGAGCGACCCATAGAGCCATGGAGCGACCCATAGAGCCCACCCATAGATCCACGGATCCCTGTTGCCTAACGACCCGCATGGCCCCCCAAATGCCCCCTAAATGCCCCCCAGCTGCCCCCCAGCTGCCCCCCAACGTCCGCGCGCGCCCGCCCCACAACCACAGGCGCATCATCAACAAGCACACGGACGAGTCGCTGGGCGACTGCTCCTTCCTCAACACCTGCTTCCACATGGACACCTGCAAGTACGTGCACTACGAGATCGACGCCGGCCCCATGGCGCCGCCCCACAGCCCCCCCGCCGCCGCCCCACGGCAGCGCAGCCCCACACCAAAGGAGCTGGCGCGGCCCCCCGGCGGGAGCGACGCGGGCGCCGATCGGCTCTTCCCACCGCAGGTAATTGGGGGGCGAATTGGGGGAAATTCCGATGGGGTCAGCAGGATTTTAAAGGGTTTTGGTGGAATTTGGGGGAATTTTGATGGGTTCAGCACAATTTTAAAGGGTTTTGGTGGAATTTGGGGAAATTTCGATGGGGTCAGAAGAATTTTAAAGGGTTTTGTTGGAATTTGTGGGAAATTCCGATGGGGTCAGCAGGATTTTAAAGGGTTTTGGTGGAATTTGGGAGAATTTTGATGGATTTGGCAGAATTTTAAAGGGTTTTGTTGGAATTTGGGGGAAATTTCGATGGGGTCAGCAGGATTTTAAAGGGTTTTGGTGGAATTTGGGAGAATTTCAATGGATTCAGCAGAATTTTAAAGGGTTTTGTTGGAATTTGGGGGAAATTTCGATGGGGTCAGCAGGATTTTAAAGGGTTTTGGTGGAATTTGGGGAACTGCTTCCACATGGACACCTGCAAGTACGTGCACTACGAGAATCGAATTTGCCGGCCCCATTTTGGCGCCGAATTTTAAAGGGTTTTGTTGGAATTTGTGGGAAATTTTGATGGGGTCAGCAGGATTTTAAAGGGTTTTGTTGGAATTTGGGGGAAATTTCGATGGGGTCAGCAGGATTTTAAAGGTTTTTGTTGGAATTGGGGGAAATTCCGATGGGGTCAGCAGAATTTTAAAGGGTTTTGGTGGAATTTGTGGGAAATTTTGATGGGTTCAGCAGAATTTTAAAGGGTTTTGTTGGAATTTGGGAGAATTTTGATGGATTCGGCAGAATTTTAAAGCTTTTTTGGTGGAGTTTTGGGAGAATTTGATGGATTTTGGGGAATTTTAATGAATTTTAAAGCTTTGTTGCAATTCGATGAATTTTGTTGGAATTGGTGAATTTTGTTGGAATTTTGTTGAATTTTGTTGGAATCTTTTTTTTTAATTTCGTTGGAATTTGGGTGAATTGTGTTGGAATTTGTTGGATTTTGTTGGGATTTTCAGGAAGTGTCTTGAATTTTGTTGGATTTTGTTGGAATTTTGTTGGATTTTGTTGGTATTTTGTTGAATTTTGTTGGAATTCTGTTGAATTTTGTTGGAATTTGGGTGAATTTTGTTGGGATTTTCAGGAAGTGTCTTGAATTTTGTTGGATTTTGTTGGAATTTTGTTGGATTTTGTTAGAATTTTGTTGAATTTTGTTGGAATTGTTGAATTTTGTTGGAATTTGGTTGAATTTTGGTGAATTTTGTTGGAATTTGTTGGAATTTTGTTGTATTTTGATGGAATTTTGTTGGATTTTGTTGGAATTTTCAGGAAGTGTTTTGAATTTAGTTGTATTTTGATGGATTTAGTTGTATTTTGATGGAATTTAGTTGTATTTTGATGAATTTAGTTGTATTTTGATGGAATTTAGTTGTATTTTGATGGAATTTAGTTGTATTTTGATGAATTTAGTTGTATTTTGATGGAATTTAGTTGTATTTTGATGAATTTAGTTGTATTTTGATGAATTTAGTTGTATTTTGATGAATTTAGTTGTATTTTGATGGAATTTAGTTGTATTTTGATGAATTTAGTTGTATTTTGATGGAATTTAGTTGTATTTTGATGAATTTAGTTGTATTTTGATGGATTTAGTTGTATTTTGATGAATTTAGTTGTATTTTGATGGAATTTAGTTGTATTTTGATGGAATTTAGTTGTATTTTGATGGAATTTAGTTGTATTTTGATGGAATTTAGTTGTATTTTGATGGAATTTTGTTGTATTTTGATGGATTTAGTTGTATTTTGATGGATTTAGTTGTATTTTGATGAATTTAGTTGTATTTTGATGAATTTAGTTGTATTTTGATGGAATTTAGTCGTATTTTGATGGAATTTAGTCGTATTTTGATGGATTTAGTTGTGTTTTGACGGATTTAGTTGTATTTTGATGGCCTTTTGAGGCCTCCTGCTGGATTTCGGTGTGTCCCCTTCCGCAGTGGATCTGCTGCGACATCCGGTACCTGGACGTGAGCATCCTGGGCAAGTTCGCGGTGGTGATGGCCGACCCGCCCTGGGACATCCACATGGAGCTGCCCTACGGGACGCTCACCGACGACGAGATGCGGCGCCTCAACATCCCCGTGCTGCAGGACGAGGGCTTCCTCTTCCTATGGGTCACCGGGAGGTCGCCAACAAGCCCACTTCCATCGGGGGCGGGGGGGCAAGGGGGGGGGCTTCCATTGGGGTCTTCCATTGGGGTCTTCGTTGGGGTCTTCCATTGGGATCTTCCATTGGGGTCTTCGTTGGGGTCTTCCATTGGTATCTTCCATTGGGGTCTTCCATTGGGGTCTTCCGTTGAGGTCTTTGTTGGGGTCTTCCATTGGGATCTTCCATTGGGATTTTCCATTGGGGTCTTCCATTGGGGTCTTCCATTGGGGTCTTTGTTGGGGTCTTCATTGGGGTCTTCACTTGGGTCTTCCATTGGGATCGTCCATTGGGGTCTTCATTGGGGTCATCATTGGGGTCTTCGTTGGGGTCTTCTTTGGGATCTTCCATTGGGATTTTCCATTGGGGTCTTCCATTGGGGTCTTCGCTTGGGTCTTCCGTTGGGATCCTCCATTGAGATCTTCGTTGGGGTCTTCCACTGGGGCCTTCCATTGGGGTCTTCATTGGGGTCTTTGTTGGGGTCTTCATTGGGGTCTTCCATTGGGGTCTTCATTGGGGTCTTCATTGGGACCCAAAACCCCTTTATTGACCCAAAACCCCTTTATTGACCCCAAACCCCCTCTATTGACCCAAAACCCCTTTATTGACCCCAAACCCCCTTTATTGACCCAAACCCCCCATTTTTGGCCCCAAAACCCCCTTAGTGACCCCACACCCTCCTCCCCACAGGGCCATGGAGCTGGGCCGCGAATGCCTCAACCTCTGGGGGTGAGTTTCGGGGCTCCCCAAAATCGCCCTTTTTTCACCCCCAAAATGGCCTCTTTTCACCCCAAAGTGACCCAAAATGGCCCGTTTTCCCCCCAAACGGGCAGGTACGAGCGCGTCGATGAGATCATCTGGGTGAAGACCAATCAGCTGCAGCGCATCATCCGCACCGGCCGCACCGGGCACTGGCTCAACCACGGCAAGGAGCATTGCTTGGTATGGGGCAGGGCTTTGGGGGGAAAAGGGGCGATTTTGGGTCATTTTGGGGTGGAAAAGGGCGATTTTGGGTCATTTTGGGGTGGAAAAGGGAGATTTTGGGTCATTTTGGGGTGGAAAAGGGGGATTTTGGGGTTCTAGAGTGGGGTTTTGGGGGGAAAAAGGGCGATTTTGGGTCATTTTGGGGTGAAAAACTGCGATTTGGGGTGGAAAAGAGGGACTTTGGGTCCGGGAGGGGGGGTTTGGGGTGGAAAAGGGGGATTTTGGGTCCGGGGGGGGGGTGTGGGGTGAAAAAGGGGGATTTTGGGGTGGAAAAGTGATTTTTTTTGGGGTGGAAAAGTGATTTTTCTGGGGTGGAAAAGGGGGATTTTGGGGTTCTAGAGTGGGATTTTGGGGTGGAAATGGAGGATTTGGGGTTCTAGAGTGGGCGTTGGGGGTGAAAAAGGGGGAATTTGGGGTGGAAAAGTGGTTTTTTTTTGGGGTGGAAAAGTGATTTTTTTGGGGAGGAAAAGGGCGATTTTGGGGTCGTGGAGTCGGGTTTTGGGGTTGAAAAGGAGGATTTGGGTGTCCTAGAGTGGGGTTTTGGGGTGAAAAAGGGTGACTTTGGGGTTCTAGAGTGGGATTTTGGGGTGGAAAGGGGGGATTTTGGGGGTTCTAGAGTGGGGTTTTGGGGTGAAAAGGGGGACTTTTTGGGGGGTTCTAGAGTGGGATTTTGGGGTGGAAAGGGGGGATTTGGGGGGTTCTAGAGTGGGGGTTTGGGGTGAAAAAGGGGGATTTTGGGGTCCTGGAGTCGGGTTTTGGGGTGGAAAAGGGGGATTTTGGGGGTTCTAGAGTGGGATTTTGGGGTGAAAAGGGTGGATTTTGGGGTTCCCAAAGCTGCCTTTTTGGGTATTTTTGGGGCGCAGAAGTCAGATTTTGGTCTCAAGAGGTGTCCTTTTGGGTCCAGAAAGTGGGATTTTGGTTCATTTTGGGTCAAAAACCCCTCTTTTTCATAGGTGGGGGTGAAGGGCAACCCCCAAGGCTTCAACCGCGGCTTGGACTGCGACGTCATCGTGGCCGAGGTTAACCCCCGCCCCCCCCCCCCCGTTAATGACGTCACTAATTAGCATGCCGTTATGCTAATGAGGGGCGTGGCCAATCAGGTGCGCTCGACGAGCCACAAGCCCGACGAGATCTACGGCATGATCGAGCGGCTCTCGCCCGGCACGCGCAAGATCGAGCTCTTCGGGCGGCCGCACAACGTCCAGCCCAACTGGTACCGCTCATTAGCATCTAATTAACATCTAATTAGCGCCTAATCAGCGCCTAATTAGCGCCTAATCAGCGCCTAATTAGCGGCTGATTAACCCCCTCGTTGATAGTTGCTGAATAGCTCGGTTAAAGCGACTTGGTAGCGCAATGATAACGCGTCAATAGCTAATTAATAATTAATGGCTCCCATTAACAACTAATTAGCGTCTAATTAACGGCTAAATAGCGACTAATTAATGGCTAATTAACCGATCGTTGGTAGCTTGTTGAATAGCTTGGTTAAAGCAACTTGGTAGCGCAATGATAACGCGTTAATAGCTAAGTAATAGCGTCTAATTAGCGGCTAATTAACAGCTAATTAATCGAGCGCTGGAAGCTTGTTGATAATTGCTGAATAGCTCATTGAAAGCGATTTGGTAGCGCAATGATAACGCGTTAACAGCTAATTAATAATTAATGGCTCCAATTGTTAACTAATTAGCGGCTAATTAGCGAATAATTAACGGCTAATTAATCGAGCGCTGATAGCTTGATAGTTGCTGAATAGCTCGTTTAAAGCGACTTGGTAGCGCAATGATAACGCGTTAATAGCTAAGTAATAATCAATGGATCCCATTAACAACTAATTAGCGTCTAATTAACGGCTAAATAGCGACTAATTAATGGCTAATTAACCGATCGTTGGTAGCTTGTTGAATAGCTTGGTTAAAGCAACTTGGTAGCGCAATAACGCGTTAATAGCTAAGTAATAGCGTCTAATTAGCGGCTAATTAACGGCTAATTAATCGAGCGTTGATAGCTTGTTGATAGTTGCTGAATAGCTCGTTGAAAGCGATTTGGTAGCGCAATGATAACGCGTTAACATCTAATTAATAATTAATGGCTCCAATTGTTAACTAATTAACGGCTAATTAATCAATCGTTGATAGCTTGTTGATAGTTGCTGAATAGCTCGTTTAAAGCGACTTGGTAGCACAATGATAATGTGTCAATAGCTAATTAATAATTAATGGATCCCATTAACAACTAATTAGTGTCTAATTAACGGCTAAATAGCGACTAATTAATGGCTAATTAACCGATCGTTGGTAGCTTGGTTAAAGCAACTTGGTAGCGCAATGATAATGCGTTAATAGCTAAGTAATGGCGTCTAATTAGCGGCTAATTAACGGCTAATTAATCGAGCATTGATAGCTTGTTGATAGTTGCTGAATAGCTCATTGAAAGCGATTTGGTAGCTCAATGATAACGCATTAATAGCTAATTAATAAGTCCTAATTAATGGATCCCATTAACAACGAATTAGCGACTAATTAACGGCTAATTAATCGAGCGTTGATAGCTTGATATTTGCTGCATAGCTCGTTGAAAGCAATTTGGTAGCGCAATGATAACGCGTTAACAGCTAATTAATAATTAATAATTTTGGGTCCAGGAGGGGGGTTTTGGGGTGGAAAAGGGGGAATTTGGGGTGGAAAAGTGATTTTTTTGGGGTGGAAAAGGGGGATTTTGGGGTGGAAAAGTGATTTTTTTTGGGGTGGAAAAGGGGGATTTTGGGGTGGAAAATGATTTTTTTTTGGGTGGAAAAGGGGGATTTTGGGGTGGAAAAGTGATTTTTTTTGGGGTGGAAAAGGGGGATTTTGGGGTGGAAAAGTGATTTTTTTTGGGGTGGAAAAGGGGGAATTTGGGGTGGAAAATGATTTTTTTTGGGGTGGAAAAGGGGGATTTTGGGGTGGAAAAGTGATTTTTTTTTGGGGTGGAAAAGGGGGATTTTGGGGTGGAAAATGATTTTTTTTTGGGGGTGGAAAAGGGGGATTTTGGGGTGGAAAAGTGATTTTTTTTGGGGTGGAAAAGGGGGATTTTGGGGTGGAAAAGTGATTTTTTGGGGGTGAAAAAGGGGGATTTTGGGGTGGAAAAGTGATTTTTTTTGGGGTGGAAAAGGGGGATTTTGGGGTGGAAAAGTGATTTTTTTGGGGTGGAAAAGGGGGATTTTGGGGTTCTAGATTTTTTTTGTGGGATTTTGGGGTGGAAAAGGATTTTTTTTGGGATTTCGGGTGGAGAGTGGGGGTTTGGGGTGAAAAATTTTTTTTGGGGGATTTTGGGGTGGAAAAGTGATTTTTTTTGGGGTGGAAAAGGGGGATTTTGGGGTTCTAGAGTGGGATTTTGGGGTGGAAATGGAGGATTTCGGGTTCTAGAGTGGGGGTTTGGGGTGAAAAAGGGTGAATTTGGGGTGGAAAAGTGATTTTTTTGGGGTGAAAAAGGGGGAATTTGGGGTGGAAAAGCGAATCAATGCTTAACGGTCCTAACGACTCTGATTACTAATTAATTAACGGACCTGATTAATTAATGACCCCGATCAATGAACGCTGAGCTACGGCCCCTACGTAACGAATTAGGGGTGAACTGACGAGCTCGGTTCCTGAATTAATGGTTAATTAATGGTTAACGGGTTAATTAATGACTAATTAATTAATTAATGCTCTAATTAATTAGGATCACGCTGGGGAACCAGCTGGACGGGATCCACCTGCTGGACCCGGACGTGGTGGCGCACTTCAAGCAGCTCTACCCCGACGGCGTCATCTCCAAGCCCAAAAACCTCTAGTTCCGCAGCCCCGATTTGGGCTCAAAACCTGCGGTTTTGGGTCTGCAATGAAGACCATGATGACGTCATCTCCAAGCCCAAAAACCTCTAGTTCCGCAGCCCCGATTTGGGCTCAAAACCCGCGGTTTTGGGTCTGCCATCGAGGCCGCGATGACGTCATCTCCAAGCCCAAAAACCTCTAGTTCCGCAGCCCCGATTTGGGCTCAAAACCCGCGGTTTTGGGTCTGCAATGAAGGCCGCGATGACGTCATCTCCAAGCCCAAAAACCTCTAGTTCCGCAGCCCCGATTTGGGCTCAAAACCCGCGGTTTTGGGTCCGCCATCGAGGCCGCGATGACGTCATCTCCAAGCCCAAAAACCTCTAGTTCCGCAGCCCCGATTTGGGCTCAAAACCCGCGGTTTTGGGTCTGCAATGAAGGCCGCGATGACGTCATCTCCAAGCCCAAAAACCTCTAGTTCCGCAGCCCCGATTTGGGCTCAAAACCCGCGGTTTTGGGTCCGCCATCGAGGCCGCGATGACGTCATCTCCAAGCCCAAAAACCTCTAGTTTCGCAGCCCCGATTTGGGCTCAAAACCCGCGGTTTTGGGGCCGCCGTCGAGGCCACGATGACGTCATCTCCAAGCCCAAAAACCTCTAGTTCCGCAGCCCCGATTTGGGCTCAAAACCCGCGGTTTTGGGGCCGCCGTCGAGGCCACGATGACGTCATCTCCAAGCCCAAAAACCTCTAGTTCCGCAGCCCCGATTTGGGCTCAAAACCCGTGGTTTTGGGTCTGCAATGAAGGCCGCGATGACGTCATCTCCAAGCCCATAAACCTCTAGTTCCGCAGCCCCGATTTGGGCTCAAAACCTGCGGTTTTGGGGCCGCCATCGAGGCCACGATGACGTCATCTCCAAGCCCAAAAACCTCTAGTTCCACAGCCCCGATTTGGGCTCAAAACCCGCGGTTTTGGGTCTGCAATCGAGGCCACGATGACGTCATCTCCAAGCCCAAAAAACCTCTAGTTCCGCAGCCCCGATTTGGGCTCAAAACCCGCGGTTTTGGGTCCGCCATCGAGGCCACGATGACGTCATCTCCAAGCCCAAAAACCTCTAGTTCCGCAGCCCCGATTTGGGCTCAAAACCCGCGGTTTTGGGTCCGCCGTCGAGGCCACGATGACGTCATCTCCAAGCCCAAAAACCTCTAGTTCCGCAGCCCCGATTTGGGCTCAAAACCCGCGGTTTTGGGGCTGCCGTCGAGGCCACGATGACGTCATCTCCAAGCCCAAAAACCTCTAGTTCCGCAGCCCCGATTTGGGCTCAAAACCCGCGGTTTTGGGTCTACCATCGAGGCCACGATGACGTCATCTCCAAGCCCAAAAACCTCTAGTTCCGCAGCCCCGATTTGGGCTCAAAACCCGCGGTTTTGGGTCTGCAATCGAGGCCACGATGACGTCATCTCCAAGCCCAAAAACCTCTAGTTCCGCAGCCCCGATTTGGGCTCAAAACCCGCGGTTTTGGGGCCGCCATCGAGGCCACGATGACGTCATCTCCAAGCCCAAAAACCTCTAGTTCCGCAGCCCCGATTTGGGCTCAAAACCCGCGGTTTTGGGTCTACCATCGAGGCCACGATGACGTCATCTCCAAGCCCAAAAACCTCTAGTTCCGCAGCCCCGATTTGGGCTCAAAACCCGCGGTTTTGGGTCCGCCGTCAAGGCCGCGATGACGTCATCTCCAAGCCCAAAAACCTCTAGTTCCGCAGCCCCGATTTGGGCTCAAAACCCGCGGTTTTGGGTCTGCAATGAAGGCCGCGATGACGTCATCTCCAAGCCCAAAAACCTCTAGTTCCGCAGCCCCGATTTGGGCTCAAAACCCGCGGTTTTGGGTCCGCCATCGAGGCCGCGATGACGTCATCTCCAAGCCCAAAAACCTCTAGTTTCGCAGCCCCGATTTGGGCTCAAAACCCGCGGTTTTGGGGCCGCCGTCGAGGCCACGATGACGTCATCTCCAAGCCCAAAAACCTCTAGTTCCGCAGCCCCGATTTGGGCTCAAAACCCGCGGTTTTGGGTCTGCAATGAAGGCCACGATGACGTCATCTCCAAGCCCAAAAACCTCTAGTTCCGCAGCCCCGATTTGGGCTCAAAACCCGCGGTTTTGGGTCTGCCGTCGAGGCCACGATGACGTCATCTCCAAGCCCAAAAACCTCTAGTTCCGCAGCCCCGATTTGGGCTCAAAACCCGCGGTTTTGGGGCCGCAATAAAGGCGTGGCGGGAAGGAGGGAGCGGCTCTGTTTGTCATTGGGGGGGAAGGGGGTTTTGGGGTGAAAAGGACCGTTTTTGGGCACGAAACCCCATTTTGGGGCTGAAAAGATCATTTTTGGGGCAAAAACCACCATTTTGGGGCTAGAAGGCTCATTTTGGAGGGCTAAAAAGCTCATTTATTGGGGCTAAAAAGCCCATTTATTGGGGCAAAAAACATTTTGGGCCTAAAAAGACGGTTAATTTGGGCTAAAAACCCCATTTTGGGGTTAAAAACACCGTTTATTGGGGCTAAAAAGCTCATTTTGGGGGCAAAAAAACCATTTTGGAGCTAAAATGCTCTTTTTGGGGGGCTAAAAACCCCATTTTGGGGCTGAAAACCTCATTTTGGGGGGCTAAAAAGCTCATTTTAGGGGGCTAAAAAAACCATTTTGGGGCTAAAAAGCTCATTTTGGGGGCAAAAACCCCCATTTTGGGGCTAAAAAGCTCTTTTGGGGGGGGCAAAAAAAAACATTTTGGGGCTAAAATGCTCTTTTTGTGGGGCTAAAAACCCCATTTTGGGGCTGAAAAGCTCTTTTGGGGGGCTAAAAACCCCATTTTGGGGCTAAAAAGCTCTTTTGGGGGGCAAAAACCCCACATTTTGGGGCTAAAACCCCCGGTTTTGGGGATCCAAACCCTTGTTTTTTGTGATCCAAGACCCATTTTTAGGGCTAAACAGCCCATTTTGGGGGTTCCAAACCCTTGTTTTTTGTGCTCCAAGAACCGTTTTGGGGCTAAAAAGCCCATTTTGGGGGTTCCAAACCCTTGGTTTTTGTGCTCCAAGACCCGTTTTGGGGCTAAAAAGCCCATTTTTGGGGTTCCAAAACCTGTTTTTTTGTGCTCCAAGACCCGTTTTGGGGCTAAACAGCCCATTTTGGGGGTTCCAAACCCTGTTTTTTGTGCTCCAAGACCCGTTTTGGGGCTAAAAAGCCCGGTTTTGGGGTTCCAAACGTTGTTTCCTGTGCTCCAAGACCCATTTTTAGGGCTAAAAATCCCATTTTGGGGGTTCCAAAACCTGTTTTTTTCTGCTCCAAGACCCGTTTTGGGGCTAAAAAGCCCATTTTGGGGTTCCAAACCTTGTTTGTTTGTGCTCCAAGACCCGTTTTGGGGCTAAAAAGCCCGTTTTTGGGGTTCCAAAGCCCGTTTTGGTGCCAAAAGCTCCACTTCTCGTCTTCCAGGACCCGTATTTGATGCTCCAGGACCCATTTTTGGGGTGAAAACCCCCATTTTTAGGTCCCCAAACCCCATTTTCGGGGTAAAACCACCCATTCTTGACTCCCCACGGCCCATTTTGGGGCAAAACCCCCCATTTTTTGCCCTCCAAACCCCATTTTGGGGTCAAAAACCCCAGGTTTAGGTTCCCAACCCCCTTTTTTGGGTCGAAACCCCCTATTTTTGGGGTGAAACCCCCCCATTTTTGTCACTCCAAACCCCATTTTGGGGTCAAACACCCCTATTTTGGGCGTGAAAACCCCCATTTTTAGGTCCCCCAACCCCTATTTTTGGGGCAAAGCCCCCCATTTTGGGGGTAAAACCCCCCATTCTTGACTCCCCACAACCCATTTTGGGTCGAAACCCTCCATTTTTGGGGTGAAACCCCCCATTTTTGTGTCCCCAAGTGCCATTTTGGCGTCAACCCTCCCCGTTTTGGGGGTAAAACCCCCATTTTTAGGTCCCCAAACCCCATTTTGGGGTCAAACCCCCCCCATTTTTGGCCCTCCAAGCCCCATTTTTTGGTCAAAACCCCCTATTTTGGGGTGAAAACCCCCATTTTTGGCCGTCCAGCCCCCATTTTTGGGTCGAGCCTCCCCATTTTGGGGTGAAAACCCCCATTTTCAGCTTCCCAACCCCCATTTTTGGGTCGAGCCCCCCCATTTTGGGGTGAAAAGCCCCATTTTCAGCTCCCCAAACCCCATTTTGGGGTCGAACCCCCCCATTTTTGGGGTGAAAAACCCCATTTTCAGCTTCCCAACCACCATTTTTGGGTCAAACTTCTCCATTTTGGGGTGAAAACCCCCATTTTCGGCTCCCCAAACCCCATTTTGGGGTCGAACCCCCCCATTTTGGGGTGAAAACCCCCATTTTCAGCTCCCCAAACCCCATTTTGGGGTCGAACCCCCCCGTTTTTGGGGTGAAAAACCCCATTTTCAGCTTCCCAACCACCATTTTTGGGTCAAACTTCTCCATTTTGGGGTGAAAACCCCCATTTTCAGCTCCCCAAACCCCATTTTTGGGTCGAGCCCCCCCCCACATTTTGGGGTGAAAAGCCCCATTTTCAGCTCCCCAAACCCCATTTTGGGGTCGAACCCCCCCATTTTTGGGGTGAAAAACCCCATTTTCAGCTTCCCAACCACCATTTTTGGGTCAAACTTCTCCATTTTGGGGTGAAAACCCCCATTTTCGGCTCCCCAAACCCCATTTTGGGGTGAAAACCCCCACTTTCAGCTCCCCAAACCCCATTTTGGGGTCGAACCCCCCTATTTTTGGGGTGAAAAACCCCATTTTTAGGTCCCCAAGGCTCATTTTTGGGGTGAAAACCCCCATTTTTGGCTCCCCAAACCTCATTTTGGGGTCGAACCCCCCTATTTTTGGGGTGAAAAACCCCATTTTTAGGTCCCCAAGGCTCATTTTTGGGGTGAAAACCCCCGTTTTTGGCCCCATTCCCCCCCCAAAACGCACCCGAAGGGTCCTGCACCCCTTTAATAGGAACCAGGGCACAAAGGGGGGGTGTGGGGTGTCCATGGGGGGGGTGTGGGGCGCCCCATAAGTGCCAATGGGGGGGAGGGGGGGGCTCACTTGACGAAGACGACGTTGTTGGGGCCGGCGTTGCGGGCGGCGAGCCAGGCCAGGAACACGTCCCTGTTTGGGGGGAAAAAGGGGGATTTTGGTTAAAAACGGGGGTTTGGGTTAAAAATGGGGGGAAAAGGGGGGGTTGGGTTAAAAATGGGGGAAAAAATGGGGGTTTTGGTTAAAAATGGGGGGAAAAAGCGGGGGGGTTGAGTTAAAAATGGGGGGAAAAACGGGGTTTGGGTTAAAAATGGGGGGAAAAGGGGGGTTTTGGTTAAAAACGGGGGAAAAAGGGGGATTTTGGTTAAAAACGGGGGGAAAAAGGTGGGTTTTGGTTAAAAATGGGGGGAAAAGGGGATTTTGGTTAAGAATGGGGGGAAAAGGGGGGTTTTGGTTAAAAATGGGGGAAAAAGGGGGGTTTTGGTTAAAAATGGGGGGAAAAACGGGGTTTGGGTTAAAAATGGGGGAAAAAGGGGGGTTTGGGTTAAAAATGGGGGAAAAAGGGGGGTTTGGGTTAAAAATGGGGGGAAAAACAGGGTTTGGGTTAAAAATGGGAGGAAAAAGGGGGGTTTGGGTTAAAAATGGGGGGAAAAACAGGGTTTGGGTTAAAAATGGGGGGAAAAGGGGGGTTTGGGTTAAAAATGGGGGGAAAAATGGGGGTTTTGGTTAAAAATGGGGGGAAAAAGCGGGGGGGTTGGGTTAAAAATGGGGGGAAAAGGGGGGTTTGGGTTAAAAATGGGGGGAAAAGGGGGGGTTTGGGTTAAAAATGGGGGCAAAAGGGGGATTTTGGTTAAAAATGGGGGGAAAAGGGGGGTTTTGGTTAAAAATGGGGGAAAAGGGGGGTTTGGGTTAAAAATGGGAAAAGGGGTTTGGGTTAAAAATGGGGGAAAAGGGGGATTTTAGTTAAAAACGGGGGTTTGGGTTAAAAATAGGGGGAAAAGGGGGGGTTGGGTTAAAAATGGGGGGAAAAATGGGGGTTTTGGTTAAAAATGGGGGGAAAAGAGTTTGGGTTAAAGATGGGGGGGAAGGGAGTTTGGGTTAAAGATGGGGGGAAAAGGGGGGGTTTGGGTTAAAGATGGGGGGAAAACGGGGTTTGGGTTAAAGATGGGGGAAAAATGGGGGTTTTGGTTAAAAATGGGGGGGAAAAGGGGGGTTTGGGTTAAAAATGGGGGAAAAGGGGGGGTTTGGGTTAAAAATGGGGGGGAAAGGGGGGTTTGGGTTAAAAATGGGGGGGAAAGTGGGATTTTGGTTAAAAAGGGGCAGGTTTGGGGGGAGAAAGAGGGATTTTTGTTGAAAATGGGGGGGGAAATGGGTTTTGGGGTAGAAAAGGGTTTTTTGGGGTCTTCAGGTGGGATTTGGGGGGAAAAACAGGGATTTTGGATAATAGGGGGCGGGCTGGAGGGGAAAGGGGATTTGGGGTAAATAAAGGAACTTTTGGGGGGTAGAAAAGGGGATTTGGGGTAATAAAGGCTTTTTTGGGGGTAGAAAAGGGGATTTTGGTGTTTCTGGGGGAGTTTTGTCTGGTTTTGGGGTGTTTTTGGGTGTTTCTGGTACCCACCAGCAGTGCCTGACCACGCACTCACTGCTGCAGTATTTGGGGGTGTTTTGGGGCCGTTTCTGGGTGTTTTGGGGCCGTTTTTGTCCGTTTTTGGGTTGATTTTTCCCGTTTCTGGGTGTTTTTGGGGTGTTTTTGGGTGTTTTTGGTACCCACCGGCAGGGCCTGACCACGCACTCACTGCTGCAGTATTTGGGGGTGTTTTGGGCCATTTTTGGGTTGATTTTTCCTGTTTTGGGGTGTTTTTGGGCCGTTTTTGCCCGTTTTTGGGTTGATTTTTCCTGTTTCTGTGTGGTTTTGGGGTGTTTTTGGGTGTTTCTGGTACCCACCGGCAGGGCCTGACCACGCACTCACTGCTGCAGTATTTGGGGGTGTTTTGGGCCATTTTTGGGTTGATTTTTCCCGTTTTGGGGTGGTTTTGGGCCGTTTTTGCCCATTTTGGGGGTGATTTTTCCCGTTTCTGGGTGTTTTTGGGGTGTTTTTGGGTGTTTCTGGTACCCACCGGCAGTGCCTGACCACGCACTCACTGCTGCAGTATTTGGGGGTGTTTTGGGCCGTTTTTGGGTTGATTTTTCCCGTTTTGGGGTGGTTTTGGGCCGTTTTTGCGTTGATTTTTCCCATTTCTGGGTGGTTTTGGGGTGTTTTTGGTACCCACCGGCAGTGCCTGACCACGCACTCACTGCTGCAGTATTTCGGGGTGTTTTGGGCCGTTTCTGGGTGTTTTTGGGCCGTTTTTGGGGTGATTTTTCCCGTTTCTGGGTGTTTTTGGGGTGTTTTTGGGTGTTTCTGGTACCCACCGGCAGTGCCTGACCACGCACTCACTGCTGCAGTATTTCGGGGTGTTTTGGGGCCGTTTCTGGGTGTTTTGGGGCCGTTTCTGCCTGTTTTTGGGTTGATTTTTCCTGTTTCTGGGTGTTTTTGGGGTGTTTTTGTGTGTTTTTGGTACCCACCGGCAGTGCCTGACCATGCACTCACTGCTGCAGTATTTGGGGGTGTTTTGGGGCCGTTTCTAGGTGTTTTTTAGCTGTTTTTGCCCATTTTGGGCGTGATTTTTCCCGTTTCTGGGTGGTTTTGGGGTGTTTTTGTGGTGTTTTTGGTACCCACCGGCAGTGCCTGACCACGCACTCACTGCTGCAGTATTTGGGGGTGTTTTGGGGCAGTTTCTGGGTGTTTTGGGGCCGTTTCTGCCCGTTTTTGGGTTGATTTTTCCCGTTTCTGGGTGTTTTTGGGGTGTTTCTGGTACCCACCGGCAGTGCCTGACCACGCACTCACTGCTGCAGTATTTGGGGGTGTTTTGGGGCAGTTTCTGGGTGTTTTGGGGCCGTTTCTGCCCGTTTTTGGGTTGATTTTTCCCGTTTCTGGGTGTTTTTGGGTGTTTCTGGTACCCACCGGCAGTGCCTGACCACGCACTCACTGCTGCAGTATTTGGGGGTGTTTTGGGCCGTTTCTGGGTGTTTTGGGCCATTTTTGCCTGTTTTTGGGTTGATTTTTCCCATTTCTGGGTGTTTTTGGGGTGTTTTTGGGGTGTTTCTGGTACCCACCGGCAGTGCCTGACCACGCACTCACTGCTGCAGTATTTGGGGGTGTTTTGGGGCCATTTCTGGGTGTTTTGGGGCCGTTTTTGGGTTGATTTTTCCCGTTTCTGGGTGTTTTTAGGGGTGTTTTTGGGTGTTTCTGGTACCCACGGGCAGTGCCTGACCATGCACTCACTGCTGCAGTATTTGGGGGTGTTTTGGGGCCGTTTCTGGGTGTTTTTTAGCTGTTTTTGCCCATTTTGGGCGTGATTTTTCCCGTTTCTGGGTGGTTTTGGGGTGTTTTTGTGGTGTTTTTGGTACCCACCGGCAGTGCCTGACCACGCACTCACTGCTGCAGTATTTGGGGGTGTTTTGGGCCGTTTCTGGGTGTTTTTGGGCCGTTTTTGCCCGTTTTTGGGTTGATTTTTCCCGTTTCTGGGTGTTTTTGGGGTGTTTTTGGGGTGTTTCTGGTACCCACCGACAGTGCCTGACCACGCACTCACTGCTGCAGTATTTGGGGGTGTTTGGGGCCGTTTCTGGGTGTTTTGGGGCCGTTTTTGCCCGTTTTTGGGTTGATTTTTCCCGTTTCTGGGTGTTTTTGGGGTGTTTTTGGGTGTTTCTGGCACCCACCGGCAGTGCCTGACCACGCACTCACTGCTGCAGTATTTGGGGGGGGGTTTGGGGCCGTTTCTGGGTGTTTTGGGGCCGTTTTTGGGGTGATTTTTCCCATTTCTGGGTGTTTTTGGGGTGTTTTTGGGGTGTTTTTGGTAACCCACCAGCAGTGCCTGACCACGCACTCACTGCTGCAGCATTTGGGGGTGTTTTGGGCCATTTTTGGGTTGATTTTTCCGGTTTCTGGGTGTTTTTGGGGTGTTTTTGGGTGTTTCTGGTACCCACCAGCAGTGCCTGACCACGCACTCACTGCTGCAGTATTTGGGGGTGTTTTGGGCCGTTTCTGGGTGTTTTGGGGCCGTTTTTGCCCGTTTTTGGGTTGATTTTTCCCTTTTCTGGGTGTTTTTGGTACCCACCGGCAGTGCCTGACCACGCACTCACTGCTGCAGTATTTGGGGGTGTTTTGGGGCCGTTTCTGGGTGTTTTGGGGCCGTTTTTGGGTTGATTTTTCCCGTTTTGGGGTGTTTTTGGGCCATTTTTGGGTTGATTTTTCCCGTTTCTGGGTGTTTTTGGGGTGTTTTTGGTACCCACCGGCAGTGCCTGACCACGCACTCACTGCTGCAGTATTTGGGGGTGTTTTGGGGCCGTTTCTGGGTGTTTTGGGGCCGTTTTTGGGTTGATTTTTCCCGTTTCTGGGTGTTTTTGGGGTGTTTTTGGGGTGTTTTTGGTACCCACCGGCAGTGCCTGACCACGCACTCACTGCTGCAGTATTTGGGGGTGTTTTGGGCCGTTTCTGGGTGTTTTTGGGCCGTTTTTGCCCATTTTTGGGTTGATTTTTCCCGTTTCTGGGGTGTTTTTGGGGTGTTTTTGGGTGTTTCTGGTACCCACCGGCAGTGCCTGACCACGCACTCACTGCTGCAGTATTTGGGGGTGTTTTGGGCCATTTTTGGGTTGATTTTTCCTGTTTTGGGGTGTTTTTGGGCCGTTTTTGCCCGTTTTTGGGTTGATTTTTCCCGTTTCTGGGTGTTTTTGGGTGTTTCTGGTACCCACCGGCAGTGCCTGACCACGCACTCACTGCTGCAGTATTCCTCATCCCAGTCCCCGCTGGCCACGGGCGCGTTCCCGCATCCCGCCCGGATGCAGCGCGCAGGGGGGGGGTCCTCGGGTACCAGCTCCACTGCGAGGCCTGGGGGGGACTCAGCCTGGGGGGGGGGAGCATCGGGTACCATTGGGTGCCATTGAACCCCATTAAACCCCATTGAGCCCCATTGAACCCCACTGGATCCCACTGAGCCCCATTGAATCCCATTGGGTCCCATTGAACCACATTGAGCCCAACTGAATCCCATTAAACCCCATTGAACCCCACTGGCTCCCATTAAACCCCACTGAACCCCATTGGGTCCCATTGAACCCCATTGAACCCCATTGGGTCCCATTGAATGCCATTGAACCCCATTAAACCCCACTGAGCCCCACTGAACCCCATTGGACCCCATTGAGCCCACCTGAATCCCATTAAACCCCATTGAATCCCATTGAACCCAATTAAATTCCTCCAAAATCTCCCCAGATCCACAATTTCCCCCCCCATTCCTGCAAAATCCCCCAAATCCAAACTTCCCCCCAAATTCCTCCAGGATTCCACCAAATTCCCTCAAAATCCCCAGATTCACAATTTCCCATCAATTCCTCTGAAATTCCCCCGAAATTCCTCCAAAATCCCCAGAACCCAATTTCCCAAAAATTCTTACAAAATTTCTCCAAAATCTGCCCAAAATCCGCAATTTCCTCCAAAGTTTTTCAAAAATTCCACCAAATTTTCCCCCAAATTTCTCCAAAATTTTACTAAATCTACAAAATTCCTCTAAAATCCCTCCAAATTCACAATTCCCCCCGAATTCTTCCAAAGTTCCACCAAATTCCCCTTAAATTCCTCCAAAACCCACAGTTTTCCCCAAACCTCCTCCAAGTTTTCACCAAATAACCCCTAAATTTTGTGAAACCTACAATTTCCCCCAAATTCCTCCAAAATCTCACCAAATTTTCCCCAAATTCCCAATTTCCTCAAAACTCCTCCAAATTTTCACCCAATTCCCACGAAATTTTGTGAAACCCATTTTCCCGCAGATTCCTCCAAAATCCCACCGAATTTCCCCCAAAATTCACAATTCCCCAAAACTCTTTCAAGTTTTCACTCAATTCCCCTCAAATTTTGTGAAACCCATTTTCCCCCCAATTCCTCCAAATTCTACCAAATTTCCCCAAAACTCCTCCAAAACGTCGCCAAATTCCCCCAAAATTTTGTGAAACCCATTTCGCTAATTCCTCCAAAATCCCACCAAATTTCTGCAAAATCCCACCAAATTTCCCCAAATCCCACCAAATTTCCCCAAACCCCACCAAATCTCCCCCAAATTTCCCAAAGTTCCTCCAACTTTTCACGGAATTGCTCCCAAATCCCCCCAAATTTCCACAAACCCCACCAAATTTCACCCAAATCCCACCAAATTTCCCCAAATCCCACCGAATTTCCCCAAATCCCACCAAATTTCCCCGAAATCCCACCAAATTTCCCCGAAATCCAACCAAATTTCCACAAATCTCCCCCAAATTTCTCAAAGTTCCTCCAACTTTTCACGAATTGCTCCCAAATCCCCCCAAACCCCACCAAATTTCACCCAAATCCCACCAGATTTCCTCAAATCCCAACCAAATTTCCCCCAAATCCCACCAAATTTCCCCCAAATCCTACCAAACTTCCACAATCCTACCAAATTCCCCCAAACCCCACCAAATTTCCCCAAATCTCCCCCAAATTTCCCCAAGTCCCTCCAACTTTTCACCGAATTACCCCCAAACCCCCCCAAATTTCCCCCCCCCCCCATTTCTCACCTCGCTGCCGAACTCCCCCCCCACCATCTCCACCACCTCCTCCTCCACGGCCGCTTCCTCCTCTTCCTCCTCCCCTCCTCCTCCTCCTCCTCCTCCTCCTCCGGTCGTGGCACCGCCGCCGTCCGCGCCGGGGGCCGCCAGCACGCGCAGGGGGGGCAGGATCTTGATGTGCACGGGGGGATGGGAGGGGGGGGGCGGATTTGGGGCGTTGGGGGTTGGGGGTGGGGGCAGGGTCAACCTCAAGCGCGGCGGCGGGGCCTGGAGGGGGGGGGGCGCCTGGAGGAGAGCCCCCCCTTGGTTGGGGGGGGGGGGCACCGGCATCTGCTGCAATGGGGGGGGGTGGAGGCGAGGCACCGGGGGGCGCGGGGGGGGCACCGGGATGACGGCGAGCACCGAGGGGGCCAGGAGCTGCTTGGGGATGAGGATTTGGGTGATGGGGGGGGGAGGGGGGGACGGAGAGGGGTGGGGGGGTGGGGGGGACGGAGGTTGGGGGGCGGAGGGGGTGGGGCTGGTGTCAGCGTCGACCGGGTCCGAGGTCTGGAAAGGAAGGGAAATGAAATGGTTATGGGGGGGGATTCAACCCAAAATGGGGATGAGGTCACCCCAAAAACGCACCCGTGGTGGGGGTGAATTTAGCCCAAAATGGGGGGGATTCAACCCAAAATGCATCCATGGTGGGGGAAAAGTAATTGTTAGTAATGGGGGGGCCCAAAGTGGGGTGAATTCGGCTCAAAATGGGGGGGATTCAACCCCAAAATGGGTCCGTGGTGGGCAGAACATAAATGTAGCAATGGGGGGCCCAAATTGGGGTGAATTTAGGCAAAAATGGGGGGATTCAACCCAAAATGCGTCCATGGTGGGGAAAAAGTAATTGTTAGTAATGGGGGCCCAAAGTGGGGTGAATTCGGCCCAAAATGGGGGGGATTCAACCCAAAATGCATCCATGGTGGGGAAAAAGTAATTGTTAGTAACGAGGGGGCTCAAATTGGGGTGAATTTAGCCCAAAATGGGGGGGATTCAACCCAAAATGCATCCATGGTGGGGAAAAAGTAATTGTTAGTAATGGGGGGGACAAATTGGGGTGAATTCGGCTCAAAATGGGGGGGATTCAACCCAAAATGCATCCGTGGTGGGGAAAAAGTAATTGTTAGTAATGGGGGGGGCAAATTGGGGTGAATTCAGCCCAAAATGGGGGGGATTCAACCCAAAATGCACCCATGGTGGGGAAAAAGTAATTGTTAGTAATGGGGGGGGGTCAAATTGGGGTGAATTTAGCCCAAAATGGGGGGGATTCAACCCAAAATGCATCCATGGTGGGGAAAAAGTAATTGTTAGTAATGGGGGGGGGGCAAATTGGGGTGAATTCGGCCCAAAATGGGGGGATTCAACCCAAAATGCATCCATGGTGGGGAAAAAGTAATTGTTAGTAATGGGGGGCCAAATTGGGGTGAATTTAGCCCAAAATGGGGGGGAATTCAACCCCAAATGGGTCCACAGTGGGCGAAAAGTAATTGTTAGTAATGGGGGGGCCAAATTGGGGTGAATTCGGCCCAAAATGGGGGGGATTCAACCCAAAATGCATCCATGGTGGGGAAAAAGTAATTGTTAGTAATGGGGGGGGGGCAAATTGGGGTGAATTCGGCCCAAAATGGGGGGGATTCAACCCAAAATGCATCCATGGTGGGGAAAAAGTAATTGTTAGTAATGGGGGGGCCAAATTGGGGTGAATTCAGCCCAAAATGGGGGGGATTCAACCCAAAATGGATCCATGGTGGGGAAAAAGTAATTGTTAGTAATGGGGGGGGGCAAATTGGGGTGAATTTAGCCCAAAATGGGGGGGGATTCAACCCCAAATGGGTCCACGGTGGGGAAAAAGTAATTGTTAGTAATGGGGGGGGGGCAACCCCAAATGGGGGGATTCAACCCAAAATGCATCCATGGTAGGGAAAAAGTAATTGTTAGTAATGGGGGGCCCAAATTGGAGTGAATTTAGGCAAAAATGGGGGGAAATTCAACCCAAAATGCATCCATGGTAGGGAAAAAGTAATTGTTAGTAATGGGGGGCCCAAATTGGAGTGAATTTAGGCAAAAATGGGGGGAAATTCAACCCAAAATGCATCCATGGTGGGGAAAAAGTAATTGTTAGTAATGGGGGGCCCAAATTGGGGTGGGCGAAAAAGTAATTGTTAGTTGGGGGGGCCAAATTGGGGTGAATTCAAAATGGGGGGGATTCAACCCAAAATGCATCCATGGTGGGGAAAAAGTAATTGTTAGTAATGGGGGGGCCAAACTGGGGTGAATTCAGCCCAAAATGGGGGGGGATTCAACCCAAAACACATCCATGGTGGGGAAAAAGTACTTGTTAGTAAGGGGGGGGCCAAATTGGGGTGATTTCAGCCCAAAATGGGGGGATTCAACCCAAAATGCATCCATGGTGGGGAAAAAGGAATTGTTAGTAATGGGGGGGCCAAATTGGGGTGAATTTGGCTCAAAATGGGGGGGATTCAACCCAAAATGCATCCATGGTGGGGAAAAAGTAATTGTTAGTAATGGGGGGGACAAATTGGGGTGAATTTAGCCCAAAATGGGGGGGATTCAACCCAAAATGCATCCATGGTGGGGAAAAAGTAATTGTTAGTAATGTAATGGGGGGGCCATGGTGGGGAAAAAGTAATTGTTAGTAATGGGGGGACAAATTGGGGTGAATTCGGCCCAAAATGGGGGGGATTTGTTAGTAATGGGGGGGGGCAACCCAAAATGCATCCATGGTGGGGAAAAAGTAATTGTTAGTAATGGGGGGCCCAAATTGGGGTGAATTCAGCCCAAAATGGGGGGGGATTCAACCCAAAATGCATCCATGGTAGGGAAAAAGTAATTGTTAGCAATGGGGGGGCCAAATTGGGGTGAATTCAGCCCCAAATGGGACCGTGGTGAGCAGAATATAATTGTAGCAATGGGGGCCCCAAATTGGGGTGAATTGAGCCCAAATCCCATCCCTCTGGGGCGCACCAAGATGGCTCGGTAGGCGGCCAGGGCCTTCAGGTATTCCTTCTTGGCGGCCTCCGTCTTCCTCTTGTACACCTGGGCAAGGGAAAAGGGGGGGATCAGATGGAATTCCAGCCAAATTCATCAAATCTGCCAAAATCCCACCAAAATTGGCAAAATTCTCATCCAAATTCATCAGAATCCCACCAAAATCAGCAAAATTCCCACCCAAATTCATCAAAATCCCACCAAAATCAGCAAAATTCCCACCCAAATTCATCAAAATCCCACCAAAACTGGCAAAATTCCCACCCAAATTCATCAAATCTGCCAAAATCCCACCAAAATCACCAACTCACCCAAATTCATCAAAATCCCACCAAAATCGGCAAAAATCCCACAAAAATTGGAAAAATTCCCAGCCAAATTCATCAAAATCCCACCAAAATTGGCAAAAATCCCACCCAAATTCACCAAATCTGCCAAAATCCCACCAAAATTGTCCCAAATTCCGCCCCATTTCATCAAATCTGTCAAAATCCCACCAAAATTGTTCCAAATTCCGCCCCCATTCATCAAATCCCCCCAATCATACCAAAACCCACCCAAATCCATCAAATCTCCCAGCATTTCACCCAAAGTTCACACAAACCTCACTCAAATTTCACCTCTATCTCACCTGAATTTCTCTGAAATTTCAACCGAAATTCACCCCAATTTCACCAGAATTTTACCCAAGTTTCACCAAATCTCACCCAAATGTCACCCGAATTTCACCCAAAATTCACCTGAATTTTCCCGAATTTCACCCAAATTCCACTGAACTTTCACCCGAATCTCATCCAAATGTCACTTGAATTTCACCATTCACCCAAATTTCACCAGTATGTCACCCAAATTTCGCTGAAATTTCACCCAAATCTCACCCAAATTTTACCTGAATTTCGCCCAAATTTCACCCAAATTCCACTGAAATTTCACCCGAATCTCACCCAAATGTCACTCGAATTTCACCAAAAATTCACCCAAATTTCACCAGTATCTCACCCAAATTTTGCTGAAATTTCACCCAAATCTCACCCAAATTTTACCTGAATTTCGCCCAAATTTCACCCAAATTCCACCCAAATTCCACCCAAATTCCACTGAAATTTCACCCGAATCTCACCCAAATGTCACTTGAATTTCACCAAAAATTCACCCAAATTTCACCAGTCTCTCACCCAAATTTCACTGAAATTTCACCCAAATTCCACTGAAATTTCACCCGAATCTCACCCAAATGTCACTTGAATTTCACCAAAAATTCACCCAAATTTCACCAGTCTCTCACCCGAATTTTGCTTAAATTTCACCCAAATCTCACCCAAATTTCACCCGAATCTCACCCAAATTTCACCCCAATTTCACCCGAATCTCACCCGATTTTCACCCCGATTTCACCCGAATCTCACCCCAATTCCACCCGAATTTCACCCGAATCTCACCCCGTTTCCCCCCCGCCCCGGACCTGTTTCTGCTCCTCTCCCAGGCTGTCCCACATGGATGCCACGATCTTGGAGACCTCCCCGAAGGTGGCGTTGGGGTTCTGGCCCTTGATGGCGGCCTGGGTGTCGCGGAAGAAGAGGGCGTAGGCGGACACCGGCTTCTGCGGCTCGTTGGGGTCCTTCTTCTTCTTGGCCTTCTTGGGGGGCTTCCCCCGGCGCGGGGCGTCCCCGCCGGCGGGCGCTGGGGCCGGTGGGGCCAGCGGGGCCGGAGGGGATGGGGCTGGGGCGGACTGGGGAGGAGACGAGAGACGGGGGTGGAAGGGAAGGAAATTAGGAAAAATTTAGAGAAGATTTGGAGGAAGATTTTGAAAGAAATGGGAGAAAATGACAAAAAAATTGAAAATTGGGAGAAATTATGAAAATCTAGAAGGAAATTGGGGAAAATTATGAAAATTTAGAAGGAAATTTGGGAAAACGATGAAAATTTAGAAAGAAAAGGGGAAAATTATGAAAAATTTAGGGAAATAATTGAAAATTTTGAGGGATTAGAAGGAAATAGGAAAAATGACAAAAAAGTTGAAAATTGGGAGAAATTATGAAGATTTAGAAGGAAATTGGGGAAAATTATGAAAATTTAGAAGGAAATTGGGGAAAATGATGAAAATTTAGAAAAAAAATGGGGAAAATGATGAAAAATTTAGGGAAATTAGGGGAAATTTTGAGGGATTAGAAGGAAATAGGAAAAAATGACCAAAAAGTTGAAAATTGGGGGAAATTATGAAAATGTAGAGGGAAATTGGGGGAAAATACAAAAATTTAGAAGGAAATTGGGGAAAAATATGAAAATTCAGAAGAAAATTGGGGAAAATTATGAAAATTTAGAAGGAAATTGAGGAAAAATATGAAAATTTAGAAGGAAATTGGGGAAATAATGAAAATTTAGAAGGAAATTGGGGTAAATGATGAAAATTTAGAAGGAAATTGGGGTAAATGAAACTTTTTTGCCATTTTGGGGTCATTTTTGGCTCAATTTTGGGCTATTTTTAGGTCATTTTGGTCCATTTTGGGGTCATTTTGGCTATTTTGGGATCTTTTTTGGCCTTTTTGGGGTCAATTTTTGCCATTTTTGGGGGCCATTTTTTTTGCCAACTTTGGCCACTTTTGGGACCATGTTTGGGTCATTTTTGGCCATTTTGGGGTCATTTTTGGCCAGTTTTTGGCCATTTGTGGTCATTCTGGGTCATTTTGGGCCGTTTTTGGCCATTTTGGGGTCATTTCTGGGCTTTTTTTGGTCATTTTTGTCCATTTTTGGGTCATTTTTGTCCATTTTTGGGTCATTTTGGGTCTCCTCACCCTGCGGAAGTCCTCGGCCTCCTCCTCGTGCCCGGAGCCCGTGGGGGACGGGGGGGGCGAGAGCCGCTCCTCCGGTGATGCCGCCGGTGGGGGGGGTGGTGGGGGCTGCGGTGGGGGGGGGGTGGCGGCGCCCCCGCTAGATCCCGGCGCCCCATTGGCTCCCAGGCTGAGCCCCAGCTGAGAGCTGAGCTCCGATTGGTCGATGGTGGTCAGCTGGCCCGGCGCCAGCAGCCCCCCCGGGCTCAGGGCCGCCATGGGCACGTCGATGGTGACGGGGGGGGCGGTGCTGTACTGGGGGCTCATGGTGTGCTCCAGCTCCTGGGGGACCCAAAAACACACGGTTTCACCCCAAAAAATGCCTTTTTCCACCCCAAAAACACCTTAGGAGCACCAAAAGTGACGTTTTTTGCACCAAATATGGCTTTGTGGCATCAAAAACGCCTTTTTCTACCCCAAAATCCCCCTTTTCCACCCCAAAAAAGCCTTTGTGCACCCCTAAAACCCCTTTGGGACCCCCAAACCCATTTCCCCCTCTATCCCCATATCCCACCCCATATCCCCCCCATATCCGTTATCTCCATAAACCCCCTATATCCCCCTAATTCCCCCCCATATCCCACCCCATTTCCCCCCATATCCCCATTTCCCCCTATATCCCCCACCATACCCCATTCCCCCCATATCTCCCCCCCATATCCCTCCCCACATACCCATTTCCCCCCCCACCCCATATCCCTCCCCATATCCCCCCCACCCCCCATATCCCCCCCATTTCCCTCCCCACATCCCCATTTTCCCCCCATACCCCATATCCCTCCCCATATCCCCCCACCCCCCCATATTCCAACCCACCCCATATCCCCCCATTTCCCCCCCATATCCCACCCCACACCCCCCATCCTGCCCCACATCCCACTCCATATCCCCCCATATCCCACCCCATATCCCCCCCATACCTCCCATCCCCCCCCATCCCCCCCATCCCCCCCATATCCCACCCCATATCCCACCCCATATCCCCCCATATCCCACCCCATATCCCACCCCATATCCCCCCCATATCCCACCCCATATCCCCCCCCCATATCCCCCCCACATCCCACCCCATATCCCCCCCATATCCCACCCCATATCCCCCCCATATCCCACCCCATATCCCCCCACATCCCACCCCATATCCCCCCCCATATCCCCCCCACATCCCACCCCATATCCCCCCCATATCCCCCCATATCCCACCCCATATCCCACCCCACACCCCCCCATATCCCCCCCATATCCCCCCCATATCCCCCCACATCCCACCCCACATCCCACCCCATATCCCCCCCACATCCCACCCCATATCCCCCCCATATTCCCCCCATATCCCCCCCACATCCCACCCCATATCCCCCCCACATCCCACCCCATATCCCCCCATATCCCCCCCACATCCCCCCCCACATCCCCCCCATTACCATGGCGAGCCCCCCCGCCAGCAGCCCAGCTCCTTGCTCCATGAGCCCGTGCCCGATGCCCACGGCCATGTCCAGCGCCTGCACCCCCCCATAGTGAGCGCTGGGGCCCGGTGGGGGGGGATGGTGGGGGTGATGGGGGGCAGGGAAGGGGGGGTCGGTGGCCACGCCTGCCCCCCCCCCCCCCCCCGGCTCGCCCAGGTCCTCGAAGTGCCCCACGGCCACGGCCAGAGAGGGGTCGGCCTCTAGGGAGATGGGGGGCAGCTCGAACTCCTCGTCGCCCAGGCTCGGCGTGTGGAAGGTCTGTGGGGTGGGATATGGGGGTCAGTGGGGGGGGGACACGGACTGGGGGGTGATGGGGTAATGGGGGGTCTATGGGGTGATGGGGGCTGTGGGGGGAATGGGGGTGATGGGGGTCTACGGGGTGATGGGGGCTATGGGGTGATGGGGTAATGGGGGTCTATGGGGTGATGGGGGCTGTGGGGGGATGGGGGTGATGGGGGTCTATGGGGTGATGGGGGCTATGGGGTGATGGGGGCTATGGGGGTCTATGGGGTGATGGGGGCTGTGGGGGGATGGGGGATGGGGGTCTATGGGGTGATGGGGGCTGTGGGGGGAATGGGGGTGATGGGGGTCTATGGGGTGATGGGGGCTATGGGGTGATGGGGTAATGGGGGTCTATGGGGTGATGGGGGTCTATGGGGGTCTATGGGGTGATGGGGGTCTATGGGGTGATGGGGGCTATGGGGTGATGGGGTAATGGGGGTCTATGGGGTGATGGGGGCTGTGGGGGGAATGGGGGTGATGGGGGTCTATGGGGTGATGGGGTCTATGGGGGGAATGGGGGTGATGGGGGTCTATGGGGTGATGGGGGCTGTGGGGGGAATGGGGGTGATGGGGGTCTATGGGGTGATGGGGGCTATGGGGTGATGGGGGCTATGGGGGTCTATGGGGTGATGGGGGCTGTGGGGGGAATGGGGGTGATGGGGGTCTATGGGGTGATGGGAGCTGTGGGGGGAATGGGGGTGATGGGGGTCTATGGGGTGATGGGGTAATGGGGGTCTAGGGGGTGATGGGGGCTATGGGGGTAATGGGGGGCTATGGGGTGATGGGGGCTATCGGGGGAATGGGGGGCAATGGGGTGCTCGGGGCTAAGGGGTGAATGGGGTGAATGGTGTGATGGGGGGCTATGGGGTGATGGGGGCTATGGGGGGGGGTCTATGGGGTGATGGGGTAACGGGGGTCTCGGGGGTGATGGGGGCTATGGGGGTAATGGGGGGCTATGGAGGCTATCGGGGGAATGGGGGTCTATGGGGTGATGGGGTAATGGGGGTCTCGGGGGTGATGGGGGCTATGGGGGTAATGGGGGGCTATGGGGTGATGGAGGCTATCGGGGGAATGGGGGTCTATGGGGTGATGGGGGCTATGGGGGTAATGGGGGTCTATGGGGTGATGGAGGCTATCGGGGGAATGGGGGTCTATGGGGTGATGGGGTAACGGGGGTCTATGGGGTGATGGGGGCTATGGGGGTAATGGGGGGCTATGGAGGCTATCGGGGGAATGGGGGTCTATGGGGTGATGGGGTAACGGGGGTCTATGGGGTGATGGGAGCTATGGAGAGCTATGGGGGTCAATGAGGCAATGGGGGAAATAGGAATCAATGGGGTAATGGAGGTCTATGGGGTAATGCGGGTCTATGGGGATAACAGCAGTCAATGTGGTAATGGGGGTCTATGGGGCAATGGGGTAATGAGGCAAATGGGGGTCTGTGGGGCCTGGTGTTATCTATAGGGATCTATGAAGACAATAGAAACAGAAATAGCCTATGAAGCCCTATGATTCTCTATGGGGTAATGGGGATCTATGGGGCAATGGGGTCTATGGGTCTATAGGTGTCTATGGGGTTGTACAGAATCCATGGGGTCTGTGGGGCTCGATGAGGCCCTATGAGATCTATGAATTCTATGAGTTCTATGGGGTCTATGGGTCTCTATAAGGAGCCATGGGTCTCTATGGGGTCTACGGGTATCTATGGGGTGCTCTATGGGTCCTGCCCCCCAACCCGTACCTCGGCGCCGGTGAGGAAGGGGTGCGCGGTGCCGGTGATGGCCAGGTAATTGTCACTGCCCCCTGGGAACTGTGGGGAGCACAGTGTGGCACCCTGCCCCATAGCCACCCCATAGCCCCCCATAGCCGCCCATAGCCACCCCATAGCCACCCATACCCGCCCCATAGCTACTCCATAGCAA